GATTTGGTGGAAAATTCAAAAAAAGTTAATCACTTAAGCATTTATTTGAACGACTACTGTATGGAAATTTTTCAGTCGTTCCTTTAAATCGTTTCGCTTTCAAATGAGTCACAATATCAGCGATTAATTTGTTAAAATATTTTAAATTATTTAAAAACTCAGCGTTTAAACCAGTTTTCGTTATCATATTATTCAGATTTATTTATGTTATTTTATGTAAAGCTTATTAATTTTAATCTATATTTAACTGAAACTTACAATGCGACTTTGCGATGAAGAGGTTGAAAAAGAAACGATCTATGACTCACTTGCGGGTTGAATTTCTAAGAAACCTTTTCAAACATGCGCGGAACAAAGTTTAATTTTTATAAAAAATAGCTACAAGTACTCATACATACTATATCTTGAACTATTGTTTAACAGAAAATATGAAACTACTTATCTACGCTGCTCAAATTATACTCAAGAATTTGTTGTTGTTGTCATTACTTAACGACATACACAACTCATGAGCATATGTATATACATATTTATACATTATCGCAGAGTATGTATGCAAAATATTTCCACAGGCAAGTAGCTAAAAATAGCGACAAATATGCAGCTTATATTTCAGTCTAAAAAGCGACAAACAAAAAAATTGCTTTGGCAACAAAAATCAGCGCTTGCCGCATATTGTTGACCAAAATATACAAGCACACTTACACGCACACAAACAAGAAATCAAGTAAATACAATAAGCTCTTTAATGGCACCTCGAAGCTCTGTGTGTACATTAACCAATCCAAAGTACTTTGCCAGCCAGCCAGCACTTATTGCATTTCCACACAGGCTTTCGGGCTTGTCACAAATATTCGCATTGAACAGAAAGCCTAATAAACAAGCAGCCAACCAGCCTGAACGCACAGCACAGCTCATTTGCATAATTGGCTGAAACTAATTAAGAGCGAGAAGTATGGCTTGCGAAGCCAATGGGTCATTAAAATTCCACACCTTGCTGGCCAATAGACTGGGCTAAAAATAGAAAACCAAAATCAACATTAACATTAACATTTACTGTTAACTTATTAAAAAAGCGTGCACTTCATTAGTCAGATTAAACATACTTATTAGATACACAATACTTGTATAGTATGTGCCATCAGTTGAATCAATTAAATTTAGTTGGCGATACTAACGGTGATTTGGCAACCATTAATCACAAACTACGAGTATGCTCGTAAATCAGGCATTCAAACATAGTTTGTCTGTCAATAACTGTCAATATACGACTATAACTCTATCGGCCAACAACTAACGGAGCAGCGCACTGCTGGGAATGTGGCAAACAAACAAATAAACAAGTCAGAGCTGACTAATGATCTTTGCACGATGTATATGTATGTATATATGTACACAAATGAGTATGTGTGTGTGTGTGTGTGTGAGTGTGAGTAGCGACACAAATCGCTCACTTTTCTTGAAACCGTGACCGTTCCGCCCCCGTCTCAGCAGCCGCCCTTTCGACTCAGTTCGGTGCGATCTTTTAATCTACGGCACGTGTAAGCTCTTGAAACGTTGCCACCACACACACACACACACACACACAAGCCACATCGTAATGAATGAAAATAATATTAATAATATGTGTAGTAATAATGTGGAAAAATATTACCAGTACGGATAATTTTTTCGCGATCTCTCACCATCTCTCTCTCTCACTCTATTCCTCCACATCGCTCCATCTTTCTCCCTGGTGCGCTGCTTTGAAACGTGTGAGGAGTTTAAATACAGTATACTTTAATATTAATATTCTTAAATATTTCATATATATTTTATATATATATATTTTATATATTTATTTATATATTTTAAGACAAATAATAATAGTTTAGCACAAAAGAAATTTTCCAATCGATGATGTTTATAACATCCGGAATTTTGTCATCAACTTGAAAAGATTTATTTATTCACGGAAAAGTAATTCTTTGCAGGTCTAATGTCAACGCTCTTTCCAATCCCAGAAGCAGTCTGAAAATGCCTTTTCCGGAATGACCATTCAATACGTTCTTCTATTAATTGTCATCAAAAGTTTCAAAATAGCGTTCCCGAAGTTGTATGTTCAATTGATTAAATAGCCAGAAATCACAAAAACACACAAGTCAGACAAATTCAGAGATCGTCTCGTTAATAGAAAAGTTATATTATAATGTTTTTGACTGATCCACCTAGGCGTCCATAAATAATTTTGGATCACCATTCACAAATTTTTCAGCAGTTACTGCAATTGGTCGCCTGGGAACATTTTAAACCATTCATAAAATTGTGTTTTCGGCTGAAAAAATTTAATCTTTTACAAAAAATTGGAGCAAACTTTTCGGTTAAATACTTTCGAATAAATTACTGTAAGTTTAGACACAGCTAGCTGTTTAAATTAAAAAGAATTGTCCCTATCAAAACACCCGCTCGTATTTGAAGACATTGGTATTCCAAAGAACTAACGTTTTAATATTGTTTTTCTATTATTTGGAAAGGATCACCTTTCTACCCTTTATTTTAATGCTGGGTTCATTGGCTTAGCCAATGGTAGCAGACAATAGAGTCGTCTAAACACACACACACACACATCTCCAATGGCACTTTCAAAAACAATGAAATCCCCCAGCTGCCGGCTAACTGAAAGTCTTTTCAAGAGTTTTTTGTCCAGATATTTTTTGATATAGGTGGCAAAGCCTGAAGGGCATTATAATTGCGCTTTATTTATTTATACACTCGAATGCTGTGTAAGACATGCTTTTTTCATAATTTGTTTATATTTGTATTGTTTCTATTGGTCTTTTTTTTTTTGAGCGCTCTCTTAAGATATTTTTAAAAATGCTCGAGACTAGGGCAGATTGTTATTTGTTTCAAGCTCTAGCCCTTTAAAGTCAAGCTGCCATTTATAGAAGCTCTCTCGGCTTGGGGTTTTTGGGCCAACAACTACTATGCGATCGAGTGTTAGAATTTCCATTCCGCTCCGATTCGGGCTTTAGGTTCATCAAACCGTTTTGGGGAAACACAACTAATTCTGCCAAATCATTCAGCAATTGCTCATTTGACGTTCTTAGCAATTTTTCACAACAACTTACTTTGCTAATTGCCGTTAAAGTTTCTATAAATTTGATCTGAAAATGTTACGTGTCAGCTTAATGGCCACAAGCATGACGGACTGGACCGATCGACTGGAGTCCAAAAATGCGTGTCAAACCAATCGAGAATATGTTAAACACTTTTAAAGCTTCCCTTGTAACGAAGTTGAAGGTCAACAGAGTTCTGGACTTATTTTTAACTCACTGCTAATGCCTTCCAATTAATTATATGCATATGCACATTAAAATAAAAGTTCAATCGAGATCCGTACAGAACGAGTTCATTCATTGATTCTCTTCCTCTTTTCTCACATATTCGAATTCGGCGAATGGTTTTTAAAACATATGTATATGCTCGGATTTTAGAGTCCATAAATTTGCAAACCAAATTTGCTTAGTCGAACCGTTTATTTATGGGCGGCTTTTATCAAATTCGACAAAACTTTAGTCTAAGACGCGACGCACAAACAAACAAACAAACATGCGAACATTTTATGCTTCAGTTGTTATAAATAAATGTTTCGCATTGTTTACAACATTTTGTAAAAGCACTCACACAAATGCACAAATAAATGAATATTTATTGAGTATGTTCATTAGAGTGTATAAAAACAATATTCTGTTTTATTTTTATTTGCAAGCACACACAAGTGTTTTTCATGAGTGCATGGCAAGAAGACATTATTCCCAATGTTTCACAATACCCTTCAGATACAAGTAGAAGTGCACAACACATATTTATTTTGAAACGTATAGAAGAAGCAAAAGATATAATAATGAAGTGAATATAACATATTATATAACAACAGAATAAGATATCGTAGAGACATGGCTTTTTTACTTCAGTTTTATAAAAACAGCTATCTTTTTAAATAAATCGAAATGAAAGGAAATTCCAATTCATTTGCTTCAAAAAAAAAGAAACAAATATATAAGGTATAAACTAATTAGTTTATAAATGCTACTTATTATATATAATGTATAAAAGACTTTTATTTAATTAAACACAGAACCAACGTACTTTGTTGAATTCTTGGAACTTTATTTTGAGTCTGTTGGCCTCTCTAATTCGTTCATGAACTGAGAATCAAACCAGTTTCTATATTCAAAAACATTATAATATAGTACGGAGATAATATAGTAATAGTAATATAATACTAATGCATAATACACATTTTAGGCAGTTTAGTGCAATAAAGTTGGAATTAATTTATGTATGTTTTGAACAATTTTGGCCTAATTTTTCTTTTAAATTATATTGTGTTCTCTGCTTACACTTATCTTTTTTTTCAAAAATACCCACATGTTTATGGATGTTTCTTGTTAAATATTTGCGTATTAGTAAGTGTTGCTTTTCTAACATTGTTAGGGCGTTTCAAGTTTCAGGTTATATTCAAATTTTGTAAGGGATCTAATAAAGATAGTTTAATGGGGATTCCTCAACTTTTTTGTGTTGCAATTGAATTATGCACAAAAGTGGAAGCTTATCCAATTTTATCAGATCACTTGGAAGATATTTAATTTAATGAAAGATTATTAAATTTCAAACAAACACTGGTGTCAATTTTATTTTTGAATTTTTGTGAACTTATTTTATTAATTTCATATTTTCTTTATTGTTCATAAATTTGTATTGCCATAAAATGTATTTATTTGCATATAAGTACAATTTATAACATGTGCCTCGCTGTGTCAGCAAATACTTAATAAATAATTAATTGATTAAAACAGAAAGAAAACAAAAGTTTGACCTCAGAAATGACAAAAAATTTCAATTAAAAAGCAGTGCCGAAGTTGAAAGGATTTTCAACCAAAAAGCCGATAAAAGTGCAAAACAAAAAATATAGTAAAACAAAATTGTGGAGAATTAAAAATTTGTGCATTTTTTTGCAGAAAACAAAAAGGTTGAGTGCAGAATGAAATGAAATCATAATGTGATAATAAACAGAACATTTCCAAGTTATGAGATCATCCGGCAACGGGAATGAGCAGTAAAAAGTGCAAAGCTTAAAAACTCGAACACGCAGCTCCAAAATAAAACAAAACAAAACCAAAATAAAACAAAACACAACAACAACAACAACAACAACTGCAAACACAAAGCAATAAAGGCAAGCAAATAAAGCCAACTAGTCGGACACATTCCAACAAAGGGAAAAGAGGCGCGCTGGCCACGCAGTCGCGAGCTGTGCGCCAAAGCCAGACGCGCAGAATGCACAGCATAGCAGCACAAGAACAACAACGACAACAACAAAAACAACGACGTCGAAAATACATAATATCAGACATAAGCTATCAGCTGTTGCTGCTCCTCCTGCTGCTGTTGTTGCCGAGTCCGCAGAGTCAGTCCCTCGCCTGGTTCTACGATGTGGAGGCAGTGGCCGGCACCGCCGGCGTTGGATCCGACGAGCACAGCTTCAAGACCCCGGAGACGAAGCACTCGCATAAATCGCAGAGCACACAACTGGTCCAGCACTTCCCCATGGCCCCCCACCCGCACAAGCATCTGCCACGACGCCAGCTCGTCTTTGTCGCTCTGCTCCCGTCTGTAGAGTCTGACAATAAGAACGACTGCATTATGCCGAAGGTGCTGCCCGTGCTGGAGCTGGGGATTGCGAAGGTGCAGCGTCTGGGCTTTGTGGGCGGGGCCCTCTTCGACATTACGCTGATATCGCGCGATACCTTTTGCTCCTCGAAATACGGACCCATCGGCTTCTTCGAGATCTACACCCAATGGCCGGAGGTGAATGCCGTCTTCGGACTGCCCTGCGAGTATGTGTTGGCGCCCATTTCGCGGTATGCCGATGTCTGGCAGGTGCCCGTCCTCACCAGCGGGGGCAATGCCAAGGAGTTCAATAAGAAATCCGAGAGCTATTCGACGCTGACACGCCTCAAGGGCGCCCAAGTCAATAATCTGGGGAATGTGGTGCGCGCCATTCTGGACAACTTCAACTGGACCCGCACCGCTCTAATCTATCAGAACGAGAACGTAAAGGTCAAGGGGAACTCGGTGTGCTTCCTCTGTCTCGCCGCCATACACGATACTATCGAGAAGCAGTCGGTGTACCAGCTAGGATTCGATACAACCGCCTGGACCAAAGCCGATATCCTGCGCATGCTCAAGAATGTGGCCATGCAGTCGAGAAGTAAGTTCCATAGCCACACCTCTATATCTATTGATTTCCTTCATCGATTATGTGAGATGAAATTTAAAAACCCCCAGCAAACGGTCCAAAGTTAATCTATATTTTACGAAAGTTATTTCAGTCCACAATAGATTATTATTTAAAAGAAGCTACTATTGCCTATGCTTGAATTTTAACCGGTAGTAGTAGTTCTCTTTAAAACTAATCATTTATTTATTTGAAGTTGCAATGTTGAAATAATCATAAATTAATATTCTATAAACTACGAAAGTCAGTTTTGTATTTACTCTTAATTTAATCATTTATTTATTTGACGTTTCAAAGCTAAAATAATAATATAATAATAATCTATAAGCTATTTTGTATACGAAAGTCATTTTTCTGCCGCTGGAAACAACTTTTGTATATACTTTTCATATTGGACCGATGTGCGCTGAACCAATAAGTAATTAAAAACTAAGAAAAAGAAAGAAATTTTTGAAATATAGTATCTGTTCCTCCCATAAAAATATGCAATTGTTAAGACTTTCCTCGCTGGAAGCAACTGTTTTTCTGCTGCATTAATCAGCTTTTTTTTTTTTTGGTATCTTGATTGATGCACATATCAATTCTAATTAATATGCAAACCATGTCCATATCAGCGCTCATTATACTTGTATATTCCAATTATAGACATGTCTGCGCTGCTAATGAAAACAAACAAATACAAGCAAAAAACAGACCAATAAAACAGAAGAAATAAAATAAACAAATCATGCAAATAAACCCATTGGTGGTCGCCCTTGAACTTGCATTTCTATTGTTAGCTCTTCGCCATTGTCCAAAAACTTTCTTTGTTAGCAATCGGATGGGTTTATGGAATCAACACAGGTCATTAAAATACCGCACGTACTAAGTACACTTGGGCTGAGCAGACGCCCAGAATTATTTTTAATTATAACATTTACATGCGACAAAGTTCGTCGCTATTTATTGTACTTAAAAATAGCAACAAATAAATTATTTTCTGAACTGTCGGCCAACCACCGCCCATTAAAAGTCAATTAGCAGGGAGCTGTGAATACTGCGTTGAACGCAGACCTCTATTCCCCTATTTATGTATGCATAACAATTATTATTGTTTATTGTGTTAATAGCCAATATATAAATTGAAATGAGTTGTAATTAATTTTTTTGGCATTGGTGCGCATATTTCGGACACGGCTCTATCTATTTCTGTTTCATTAAAATCTGACAGCATCACAGTTTTCCCTTAATTATGGATGCGCTTTTCAATTGACAGTTTTCAATTAGCTTTGATTTCCGTTCAACGTTTTTTGCTTACATATTTCCATTACTCATACGCAGTGTGGGGCGCAATGCACATCTATTTATAAATATAACTTTATTGCCATGGAAATATATAGTATAATTGATATGCATATTGCCCACATATATGTAAATGTGCTCCTACATACATACGAGTATATACTATATATTATATTATATATATGATTGCCAGCATTAGAACTCAGACAATTTCCCAATATCTAGTTGAAGCTTCCTTGAATAGGTTATAAGGTTAAGGTGTACATAATAATCACATAAATAATCTAGCTAATAGACAAGGAAGGCATTGAACGGAAGGAATATCTAAATGATCATTAGTTTACTTTAGATTGTGTATAATAATATATATTATAATAATATCTAAAGACCACAAGTGCCTTATTGCTTTAGACCTGTTTCGCAGTAACACCTAAAACCTCAGCCATTTCCTCAAGATTTTCTTTTTCCAGCTCCTTAAATAAATGAAGTAATTCTGTCATTGCTATGATTTTTCATTCTATTCAATCAAAAGGGCTTACTCCAACGATTGAATGAATTTAAAATACGAATAAGTGTCATTCCAGCTTATTCTTTATGATATCAAAACATTTCTTAATATGTCTCTTCTCAATAAGAATATCATTCCTTGGGTTCCTTGAGATGATAAAGCCATCTAAGTGGACTCCTTCTTTTAAAGAACATAATCCAGAAAATAAAACAATGTAGGGCTTCTGTCAAGGGAAAGACCCAGATATTTGATTACGTCCACCACAGGAATGCGATCGGAATTTTCTCTATAATGGAGCACAGTTTTCTCATTTAAGACCAAATATTGTTTGAAAATATAGTAGAATATAGAAAATATAGTATAGAGAATATAGCATATGACTTATTATATGTAAACTCTAGTTAAATACTTGAAGATGATGTTCATTAGCGCCAGCAATATAGACAAATTCCTTTCAATCATAAAATGTGTCTTTATACATTCGCATGCAAAGTGTTTCATCATTAATCATCTTTTATTATCATTTATACCATTTCCTCATTCATCATAAATATATATTTCATTTATTCTTACTATTATTAGCAATTCGAAATACATTTTGCACGGATTGTTAAATAATTATCATTTATTCGCAGAAGTTGATAGGCACCGTATAATTCCTCATTAAATTGATTACAATTAATTATTTGATATAATTTGTATTTGATATAATTAGTTTGTAATTTACAACAGCTATCAAGACTTTCTTAGCACATGACAAACATACTAGTGTAGATTTATTTCACCCAAAACTGACTCACAACGCTAATTCGAATTATGACACTATACTTGTAGCCAGCAAATTGTATTTTATTAGCTGCGCAACTTTCGCAAACAACTTGTGCAGCATATAGTACTCATATGTATGTAGATGTGTGTGTGTAGACATTTAACATCAATAATTACATAGCAACCTGTACTCACCTGTATCGTGGCACCTACTTGTACATGCATATCTTGGCCGCTAATTAATTAATGACTCAATGCAGCTTACAGACAGTCCAACCAGCAGTCATGCAAATGCAAAACAACAACAATTATAACTGATACATCATATACTATACATATTGTTTATTGTATATCGCATATACAAGTATATAAGCGTAGTCAGACACGTGCACGCGGATTTGGTTTTTGTTTTCGGTTGTGCAAGCGAATCATTTCAAAATGTCATAATTAAATCAAGCAAAACATTTTCCACTGAACTTGACATTGACGGTTCATCAAGTATACGACCAGTTGGCTGCTGCTCTCTCGCTCACACACAGCGACAGCAGTAAGCAGCCACAAGCAACAAGCAACTAGAATTTGACAACGCCTCCTTAAATAATTAAAAGCATTTGCTTTTGATATAATGACGTTGCAAATTGCATTGCACACTGGGAAGAGGTGCTGGGTGGTGGGGGAGACAGATACTGGGTGGGAGCGACAACAATGTTGGCTAGAAATGAAATAACATTTGCCTTTTGTAAGTGGCATATTACATTTACAATTCCAGCAACTGATGCAACCCAGTTACGACGCACCTGGTGGGCCGTATTGTGCAGGGCAGAGGTTGTAAGTGGGCGTCATTCAAATGAGATATTTAGGATTCCAGCAAGTGGTTTATAATTAACTGCTGAGACCGCAACTAAATCATTAAGTACTCGGCCCACCCACTGGACACTAGTGACTAAAAGCGTGCAACCGGTGGTGTTCAAATTAATTTACTGATTAATAACCAGTAATTAACGCTCAGTAAGCACACCTTTTGATCTACGTAGGTGAATCCTACTTACAGTTTGTAGAAACCCCCTACCCTTCATTTGTGTTCCATGCAAGTCAGTATTATTTATTGTTTAGTAATACTTCCACTTTTGACCTACATACCTTCCCCAATTCACTAATTCACTGCTGAACAGATTGAAGCGCACTTTAAAAATCAATTGTGTCCAATATCTTTCAATGTTTACTTACCAGCTACTACCTAAAAATGAATAATAATAAATATATTTTTAGTGCTCCAGTCAGCGAGCAAACTATGCTTATCTAGCCTCTCCTAGAATTTTAATAATACATGTATAATATAATAGGGATAGCTCTTAAAACAGTTTAAACTGTTGAATGCTAATTTTATGCCAGCCATTTCAAACTATAAACTGTTATATAATTACAAAGTACCCCAATACTACAAATACTTATAATAATTATTAAATTAATATTAATATAAAATATATATGATAAATACATGAAAACCTTAGACCTATAGATGTTAGTTTCTGAGATCAAACCGTTCATACAGTCGAACAATTATTTGCTTCTTAATATATATATGTATGTATATGTACAGTTTTTGTACGGTTGGTAAATGCTCTACACAACTAACTATTTATTTCTATTTAAGCTGTGAACTACTTACTTAGTTCCAAGCTACTTAATTAACTAATGCTTTGTTAGTGAAATCTAACATGCTCTACTCCGTTACAAATTTGATTTCAATTGTTTTTGAACATTTTGATGAGAGGAATAGTTTCTCACAATTGAGTAATCCGATTTCTATTCAAATAGCACTAGTTCCTACCAAATATTAGACAGCTTGGCACTATTTCTCTGCAACAACTTGCACTTTAACGCCTCCGAATTGTTCAAATAAGTCTTAATTAGTCATATTAGATTTTCATTACAGCTCGACAGCACATCTCAGAATCCGCTGCTGCTATTTAAATATGCTTAGATAAACATTTTAGCAAATGTATAAACATATTTGATATGCAAATGCTAAATGAATTAGCTTTATTTACAATTTGTGGCATCGTACGAGTATGTGTGTTATGGCCATTGGCTAATTGCTGATGTTGTACAATTATTTATTCACTGGCAGTTTGTTTAAATTAGCCGAAATGAACATGAATTGAACTATTATTTAGTAAAATGTAATTTTTGGCATGTCACTAATGCATTTGAATTCAATTAAAAGTTCCTTGGCTTCAGGCAGACAAGAGAATAGTTTCAGATTGAATTTATGAATGTAAGTGAATTATCTAGAGCATCACACATAGAGTATTTATTTATAGTTTTATAAATTATAGTGACATAATTTCTCAAAACTTTACTATTTAATTATAGTGATTTAATTATACTGTAGCTTAACAAATATTTTTGTTATCATTTTGAAAACAGTTTCTAAAGTGTGCACAGAGGGAGAGATTTTTAAAAACTTGTTTAGGGCACGAATCCAGAATACACCACCAATCTGAGCTTTCTAAAACTAATAGTGGAAACAACTGAAATTTTTAAATACACAAACATTTATTTTCAAATCAATTACTGATGGGCAATCATTACAGCTTTGAAAAGTTTAATTTTTTATAACAAACGCAAGTGCTAAGATCTGCTCATCATTTATCTTGACGAATGGCCAGCAGAGATTTTCAATTTATCTTTTTTAAGTTAGTAGTTATTATGTGCAGGTCTATGTTTATAACTGTAGGCACCACATTAGCCAACTACTTAGCTCCAATTACGATCTGTAGTTTTATTTATTTTATTTGCTCATTTAGACTTAAGTCTTAGTGCTTTAATTGCAAAAAGTAAAGGACCTGTAATTTTCAGTTTATTAAAATAAAGATGGCCCAATGAACGTTGCGTTATTAACCTATATAGTCCTATTAAGGAGTTAAGGAAGGAATTAAGGAAGCTACCTTGTGTGCCCTTTCGCCTTCCATTAGACAATGAATTTTAGATTTGTTTATAGCTTTAAAAATTTTTTTTTCTGCTATGGTAATACATATATTTTCTTGTAGTCCAAAATATTTTAAAGAGCGATCCCGAAATGGCATTTTTGACATTGATCCTTGTGCTATTACTATTGTATTGCTTTCAGGCTGCCCGATTCATCATTAAAACGTTGTTGTCGTACTTCTTAACTCAACTACTTGTATATATTTATGTATGTATAAAATAAACATGCCGATAATGAAAACTTCGCTTAATTAACATTCGACGTTAATTCTTAAGTAGCCATTCAAGCCATTCCCATTCTAAAAATATCATGTTTGAAAGTTTAATTCGAATAATGAATTACTCCTGCTATAGTAGTAATGTTTGTAGTTCTTCTGTCTAATTTGATGGACATTAAAAGCATCCGCCAGACTATTTCATGCGAGTACGAGTGGGGATTTTTGTGACGCGATTGAAACTTTTTAGTGCTGCCAGCGGCTTCCTAAACCTCCTCAGGCATGTCAAACAAACATTAACTGCTTTCAGAGTCAGAGCCACTGTAATCAGCGGAAAGACTAACAACAAAATTAGTGCTGACGTCAAAAACGAATACCCTTCTTCCTCGCAGACATTATTGTGTCTGTCACAGTGAAGAACTGCTACGAGTATGAAAAATTCCACTACGTTGTTAACAAAATGTACACATTTTGTACAAATTAATACATTTTTAATGATTCGACCGCGACGGGGCATGTCGTTTGTTCTATTATTAGATCTAGACATTCACTATCTAGCCGAATATAAATCTCCATAGTCTGTGACTGGTAGCTTGAAGCTGTTAACTCAACACCTTGTTGTATCAAATGCTGTTTTATTTATTTAACTTTATTTTTTTTTAATTCAATTTTTTGCAGTTGTCATTATGTGCGCCGATCCGCAGTCGATACGTCAAATTATGCTGACAGCCGAGGAGTTGAATATGATCGATAGCGGTGAATATGTTTTCATCAATATTGAATTATTTTCGCGGTGAGTACCAAAATTTACGTTAACACACACACACACACACACACGCATAGATAGATAGATACTTATGTATGAACATCAATTATCGCGCAAAATATGAAAAGGCAACCAACAATCAAAATCAGGCAAACAGTAGAGGGAAAAAAACAACCGATAATTTATAACAATTGAACATTTTGAGCGCCTCACATGTTGTTGCCTTTCACTTCTGTGGCTATTTAAAGCAAGCCAACAACAACAACAAACAAACAAATCGCGTACATTTCAATTCTTGAACAATAACAAACCATTAGTCAAGGTTATTAAACAAAATTATGAAATTGACCAAAAAATTGTCAGTTAGCTAAAAATAGATTTGCAATCGTTGAAGGCGTTTTTACTAATGTTTATATAAGGAAATTCCATTATCGACACATGTCTATATCTCAACATCTTGCAGCATAATTTACAACCTCTCTATAAACAATAACTGAGTGCCAGCAATAACAATAATAGCCGCCCACAACAAAATTAAAATATACAGCTGACACGATATCTGTGCACGCAGAAATCTATTTGCAAACACATTTTTTAGTGCTTATATATACGTACTTAAGTGGTATGATTTATATTAGGCGCAGAATGTAGAAAGTTAAGAAGGAGCGGAGGTAATAACGTTGTTAACACCTTTTGAGGCCGAGCTGTCTCTGGAAGCATCAGCCAAACTGCAAAAACTGATAGACCAGATGGCAGAATTATCTGAAGGCAGCAATCTTTCTGAAGAAATCTTTTAGAGTTGGTATATGAAGTGCTTAAGTGATAAGATTTAGATTAGGCCTGCAGAATGGAGGTATAACACTATCAACAATTCTAAGACAACCACTGTCTTTAGGAGCATCATACACATAACACCTGCTAGAAGAGTTAGAATAATTGCCCGAAAGCAGCTGAAAAGAAGAGGTGATGTTAACAAATGAAAAATTTTAAAACTTTTAAAAATTCTAAGACAAGGCAAAGAATTCTTTCCAAATCCATGTTTAGAAGCATTACAAGAACCCGTAGAAGAGTTAAAAGAGATAGAAGAATTGTAAGAATGCTGTTTGGGAAGCTGCAGAGAAAATGGAAAGTTTCAAATAGTAATATTTTAACATTATCAACGATTATAATTCCATCTGTACAATTCTTTGGAAATCTGCTTTCATAAGCATCATTTACATTGCAAGAAGTGATAAAATAACAAAATAACTAAAAGGAGCAGAAGCTTCGAATCGTACTACAAGTACATATTCTAACATTATCAATAATTCTAAGGTAAAATATAGAAGTCTTCAGAAATCTCTTAGAAATGCTTCTAAATGTTTCTTTGCATTTACATTGCAAAAATGGATGGAAAAGATAATACAATTATTTTTTAACATTATCAGAATGCTAAGGTAAACTATAGTAATATTTGCAAGTCTGTTCTTAGAAGCATATTAGCATTAGCCATATTACATGAAAGGATACAAGAATAAAAAGATAGAGATTGAACAATTATTCGAAAGCAGCTTGGAAATCTAGAAAGAAATAGTAATATTTTAAATAATGATAACTTATTGAACTCTATGCCAGAATCAACCTAATTTATTTATTAGTTTACTTACATTAAAAAAGGTATTGCTGTAAATATATTTATAGTTATAGATTACATTTTCTTTCAAATTCTTCAGTAGTCAGGCTGTCATGCAAGAATATATCTGCGTATTAAAAACAATTAGACCCTAATTATATTTTAAAATGCTCTCTTTAAACAAAAGAATTGAGTCTTTAAACAGCTTATTATAACATTATAATTGTTGTTATCATGCCTACATTTTCAGCTTTTCTCTATATATACTCGTATGTACATACATATTTATATTTTTTTCTTTTCTTTATTGATTAAATAAACAGTTATTTAAAGAACAAACTAAGCGGTCTGCTCTATAATTATAGACTTTGTGGTAATGAGACAGAAAGCCCCAAATTAAAAAGTACAACAAAAACGCTGACTCATACACATACTCGTATATCCCTCGCACCCACACAACCACTCTCTTCTTATCTGCAATTAAATAGTGGGCCCCGGGCACACACTCTAGACGGTATTTGGAGGCTTTTAGACAGATTACGTGACGTGTTTTGTGTACTTTTGTCACTTGCTCGTCGTAGTTCATGAATTGTTGTTAGACTCGTTGGGAAAAATTAAGTAGCGCTTGACACATTTCAAGTTGAAAGATAGACAAAGAGCTTTCAAACATATTTACATTTTTAGATAAATGTATGAAAGAAGCACGTGATAGATAATAGACACAACGAAAAAGTTTCCGACACTTTTCGAAAGCCGAAAGTCCATTAATGACAAGCGAAAAAATCATTCAAAAACAGATTTACAAAGAGCAACAATATCAATATATACATGTATATACAAAAGTATATATAGAAGTATTGAAATGTATAAATAAAAGGATCGATATTCTAGTAGCCGGGCACTTCATATTTGCATGCGCAGTCGCATTCGTCTAATCGCCAGCGACCTTAATGAACTTGTAATCAGTTAGAAACGGGTGCAAACATGTATATATAAACAAATAGTATGTATATATATACATACATATATACTTATAAGTGTGTAAGCATTGCATTTCCTTGTAAGAAGCGTTTTGTTTTATATTTGTTTCTAATTGGCGCCAAGCAGAAGCTTTTATGGCTTAAATGCTGACGACAACAATAATCAGCAGATATTTAGACTTCTATAAAAAAATAAATATTAAAAATTATAATCAACTAATCTGAAAGATTCTGTCCAAATCTAGCGGCAAAATATATCGTTAGAAACAAAAAAAAAACAGAAACGGTGCAGCTCTACAAGAAAACGGATCAAAGCTGATTAAATAGCAGATATTGTGGCGCCAAGTTAGAGCCAGATTATGAAAGCAATTAACTATTCTGAGATACGATTACGATTAACTTTGTCGATTGAGATTACCATTTCCTGTGGTTAGCAATATTTACTTTATCATTACTCAATCGGAAAAACGGAAAAAGATATCTCTGTTCTTTGTTGTAGAGCTTCTTGATGTAACCTTGTGTTGTGAACTTAATGTTTTAATATCAAGAGTGAAGGATGCTTATAATACAAAACTTGCAAATATTATTTTACAATTATAACTCAACTGGAAGAGGAGATAAATAAATTTCTTTATCAACATTTTTGAGAGTCTGTTTACACATATCACAAATGTATTTGTAATATATTCTTAAACCTTTTAAAAAACAATGAAGATAAAGAAAATATTTCCCATTGTCATTAAATTCTTAATTTAGGAAATAAAATCTGTTTATTAATTGTTAACATTTAAATTAAAAACCCTATTCATGTGTATTATTTTGCGACCGTTGTTTACACTTGAGATATATTTCTTGATCTGAAAGCTTGCCTTTATTATGAAATTTTTATCAAGAATTAGGTAAAAAGAATATATTTGCTTCTTAAAAATATTACATGCTTAAATTGTAATTTAAATTTTCGAGTTAACGAGCTGCTTCAGTCGACAATAGCAATAGTAATAGGTATAAGATGATGTAATATAATTTAAGATGAATTAAGATGAGCTGATGTGAGATGATGTAAGATGCTATAAAATAATATTTGAAAGACTTCAGTACATCAATTCTACAGCGTAGTGGAAGGGAATGGTAAGAGCCACCATCTGTTCTAGCTGTGAGTTGAAGCCTGAAGAATTTGAGCAGATTTTTAAATGACGTTTTTTTAATATTCTTTTTGATTGATGTATCCTTTTCATATATTTAAAAACAAATATATCTAAAAATCGATCTAAACTGGTTTATCTATTTTTTATCGGCATGGATTGCTTGGCTTACAAAAGAATGCAAACCCTTCAATTTCAATTCAATTCAGGGCACATATGTACTATCACGCCAGATAGATTTATTCAAGTTTTCTTCAAAGCTTCATTGCAATTACATGCTTTACTTTCCAACTATTCGATTCGCTTTTAAATACATAAGCCAGTCCATCCAGCTGGCTGGCTGTCTTGTTAACAGCCAAGCTGACATTAAATTGAAAATATTGACTGATAAGAAGTACATACAAGTATACTATGTATGTATAGTATATATATAATTGTCCAACTACTTAGAGGCTCCAGCGACTGAGACATCGACATAGGGAGACGCATTCACTAAGCAGTTTTAGATTTGCTTAGCTGTTTTCCACACATATATATATATACAACCATATACTACTATATATTTTTTTGCAATGCTATTTATAAATGTTTTATGACGCATATCAAAGCAGAAACCAAACGCAGCAACTTTTAAATGCATTGATAAGCCACAGAGTACAAAATACAGATACCTAGGGGGCAAAACTACAGTCCACAAATAATAGAAATATAGCTTTGTTGTAAGTGTTGTAATTGATTTCTTTTGTTTTCCAGTGTGCCGTATCTAACATCGAAGCCGTGGTATGACAAGAACGATACGGATTTGAATAACGAGCGAGCCAAGAAGGCCTACACAGCCATGTTGACCGTCACCCCCAAGCAGCCGAATGACGATGAATACACCCGTGTGTCCAATGAGGTAAGCCATACAGTTTTAATTTGCATGAAAATCGACTTTATCTATGCATGCTGCTACCAATTCGAATGTGGCAACTGAACCACAGGGACTGCTGTCAACATGGTTAGCTGAGAATGGTTTGATTAAGAGCTCAGAGGCCATGGGTGGATTGTAAAGCCTCTATTTTGTGTGAAGCGTATTTCCTTTTGGAAGAAGACTATATATATTGTTTTGAAATTAAACCAAATAAAGCAAAGCAACATGAAAAGTTTAACGAAGAAGATGATATAAAAGATGATATTAGATGAAATGAGATGATGGATTATTCGTAGAACTTGCTAAATTCTACAGCTTAGTGAGAAGTAATAGAACCTTTCTTTAGCATTTCTACGCACATGATTGCCGTTACTCAATGATGTAGAGGCTCCTTCTGGAAAAACACAACACTATTTTGAAATTTAAAACAGATGATATAAGATGAAATGAGATGTCGTAAATTCTTCAGACTAGTGACAAGCAATAGAAAATGCGACAGCCATTCTTTAGCAATATCTACGTCCCGGATTGCCGTTGTTCATTCCGCAGACTCATGCATATTGAATGATGTAGCGGAGATAATTGGGTGGCTCTATTTTACATATGTTGAGTTGACAATCTGCAAATATTTATTGTTGATATTAGAACACTAACAACAAAGCGACACAACACCTGAACATTTGTTAACCAATTTTCAAAGTGCACACACACTTCAGAAGCCAGATGGCTCCTTTCATATGAAAGCTCGTCTGCTGCGTTTGGCAGAAGCCAATGGCAAACTTAATGGAGAGGGAATATATTGCTTGTGATTTGCTGCAGTGGCTGCCTCGGCAACTCTCAGCTAATGACTTGCACTTGCCGGTGGCCTGAAGCTTATAGTTGATGCCTCCAAGTTGGCACTTTGACATTTCGCTAAAGCCCCCAATGAGCCTCTGGCACATATAGTATTTAGTCGAGAGGCGACAATCTCGTTTATGTCAAAAAACAGACTGCTGTCCTAGTTACACAAAGCCGAGGGGTTTTGTGGAACTTCAAAACCGTCACCTTTTCATTAAGGTATTTGAGTCTGTTGTGAAACTTAAGAAATGGTTTTGGTACGAAGAGTTCTGCCTGAATTTTGATAATAATTCTCTAAATAGTTGATGCCATAGAGCATGATCTATTGTTTAAATAACTTTGAAAATTAAATCTGGCAAGCACTATTTCGCTTATGATTGTTAAAGCTCTGGGTACATGAGCTCAGATCCAATTATAAAGCTTGCATTTTAGAGACTATCAGGCATATTTTGTTCTTTAAAAATTGAAAAGAAAAATGTACAAGCTTTTCATCTCTTCATTTGCATAGCGAATTGTTGTTTTCTGTTTTTCCTCCCTATTTGAAAAGCCGCTTATGCAGCTGAACAACTTGATTGCGTTTTTCCGTTTACTCTTAAGCTGGAGCAGCTGCTCTGGAAATATAATCGCGACTTCAAAAGGAATGCGACACAAAATGCACTTTCTGAGCTTCTAGTCCTCCAATGTTGCACTGCTGCATTGCCCCAATGCTGCCACTTGCCACCTACAATGAGAGAAAATAGTATGCAAGTTTGGCAAAGCGACGAGTCATAACTTCCGCATGAATTGTGACAAAAAGTCGTTACGTTTCCAGACGAGCGGACACATAATTGAATTTACACGCAGGCCGCCAAAGCAATTAAGCAGAGGGAAACAGAGGGAGTGGACAGCAGACAGACCCGCTGCAGACAGCAATCATGATGGGGTCAAGGATGATGGCAAATCATCTAGTCCACTAGAGTCGCTTTCAACAATTATTCACAAAAGGTTAAAAAAAGGGCAGCCTAAAACAATATTGTGCTATCTAGGAATGGCAGAAGAACAAAAATTTTAAATTGGATTTAAAGGAAGGAATAACTAATATTGCTAATTATGTTAACTTCAAACTTTTCTTAGAAAGGCTGGAAGTCAAAGGGGGCTGGAAAGTAAAACTTGAATCAAAACAGCACAAACTACCAAAGATACTTGTAAAGAATAAGCTTGGACTTTAATTTTTGATACTCAGTCTTACATATTCACACGTATCTCCTGATTTCAGATCAAAACTATTGCCGCAGCCAAATACAATTATACGTTTAGCGATAACGAACCCATTTCGGCTTTCGTTACCTCCTTCTTCGATGGAGTGCTGCTTTACGCCAGTGCTCTGAACGACAGCATTAGGGACGATCCGAGCGTGCTGACACGACCCATCAATGGTACGGATATGGTGCGACGGATGTGGAATCGCAGCTTCACGGGCATTACGGGGAATGTGACGATCGATGCAAATGGGGATCGTTTGTCGGCCTATTCGTTGCTGGACATGAATCCGCACACGGGTCGCTTTGAGATTGTGGCACACTTTCTGCACAATCGACTGGAGTTCGAGGCCAAGAAGGACATTCACTGGCCGGGCGATCGCGAGGAGGCGCCGCCCGATCGACCCACCTGCGGCTACGATGGTGCACTCTGTCCCGACAATTGTGAGTAACTGAAAGCCTAGCCCTGAAGTGATAATGAGAGCACATTTATATTTAAAGCTCTGCCTGGCTATGCCATATTGTCGATTGTGCTGTTCCTATTGCTGATCATTATGGCTGTGTGCTTCTTCTTCGGCTATCGCCACTATATTGCCGAGGCGGAGATCAACTCGATGAGCTGGAAAGTGTCGCTGGAGGATGTCATGTTTCGGGATACAGCGGAGCGCGCACTTCGCGGCTCCTTCCACTCGCTGGTCAAGCAAAGTTCTCAACTGACGCTCATGTCCGATGACATGGTGTCGATCAATGGCGATCGACAGCTCTTCATACCAGTGGGGATGTTCAAGAAGAGCAAAGTGGCCATCAAGCCCGTGGATGTGGACAATGTCCAGGCGCTGCTCACACGCAGCCTTATGCTGGAGCTGAAGCGCATGAAGGATCTCCAACACGATCATTTGGTGAAGTTCTACGGCGCCTGTTTGGATCCGAGACGCAGTTTTCTGCTCACCGAATACTGTCCCAAGGGCTCGCTGCAGGACATACTGGAGAACGAACAGTTCCAACTGGACTGGATGTTCAAATTATCGCTCATGCACGACATTGTCAGAGGTATGCAGTTCCTCCATAGCTCCGACATACGCTCCCATGGCAATCTCAAGTCCTCCAACTGTGTGGTGGACTCTCGTTTCGTCCTCAAAATAACGGATTTCGGCTTGCACTCTCTGAGGCGTACGCGCTACGACATGGAGAGCGATGTCGAGAACTGCAACAGTCATGCATATTGGAGCAGTAAGTCCACAATGATATTAAAAACTATTCTACTATTATGCCATAAATCCCTTCGAAAACTTCTATATATCTGATCCAAAGTGTCTTGTTCTGGATAAGCACTGTTTTTCAACTGTGAAAATATTTGAGAAGCAAGCATTTCTTTTAAGGAAAATGGAATCATTTTGGAACCAATTATGAACCCGTTTGGAACCTTAAAAAGCTTTTTAAATCAATTTCGAACCAATTATGTATAGCTTTAAACTGCTTCCTTCCTCCTTCTCCTTGAAATCCTACTCAACATAAACTCACTAAATATTTGGCATAAAGATCAATTTAGTTATTAGAAAGCCAAAATCTTCATAATTTTATCGACCTTCGATTTTATTTTCCATCACAAAATAAACTTCCAATTAGTCTATTTTTATATTTCTATGCTCTAATTCCATATTGAAGGGCAATATTTAAACAAATTATATAAAATTTAATAGACTTAAAGGACATATGCACATACCCTTAACAACTTCCTTTGGCAACTATCACATCCCAGCTAGGCATATGCCATTAGCTTTACATAAGTATTAATAAATAATAAAATCCTAATTATGTAGTTACAGAATACTGCAGAGTATAGTGCTCTCTATAAATGTTGTTGCATATTTAAAGGCGTTTCACCATTCTCTTCCGCACAGAACTCCTATGGACTGCCCCAGAATTGCTGAAATTGGAACAGCAACGACCACCGGAGGGCACTCAGAAGGGCGATGTCTATGCCTTTGGCATAATTGTGCACGAAATAACGACTCGACAGGGGCCGTTCTATTTGGGGAAATGCGCATACGAGAAATCGCCACAAGGTATGACGATGAGGATGAAACACACAAACACACACAGATACAGAAAAATGAATGCATTTTATTGTGTGAGTAACTGGAACATAATTTTGAAAATGTTGGCGCACATTTCGGGACCACAAGTATCACTCTGCCTGTCCTACATGCCAATTGTTTGATTAAATGTGCAATATTACGCATACGCCGCGTTGATTTCATCTAGAACCGATACTTCTCCTCAGTCGAGTCATCCTTTTCCAACTTTTCGCCGACACTTGTCTGCCATGCGGCCAAATTTAATTGTGGTGCTCTCAAAAGTTACACACCCACTTGGAAAATCAAATTTTGCAACGGCAAAGTTCTCACCACCAGTCGGGAACTTTCTTCTCTTTTTTTCCCCAAAACAAATCATTGCAAATTCATGGACTGTACTAGCAATGACAGGTGCTCTCCGTGTCGGAGGAGGAGGGGGCGCTGCCACAACTGCCCCACCACCAAAACCAGGAGCACCAACCCTTTTTCCGCTTCTCCCTCAGAGTCTGCTTCATCGGCCACTTCCCGTTCTTGGTGAGAACTGCGGTTCTGCGGCTGTTCTGTTCCCGCCAGGCCTGTCGCAGCTGCTGCTGTCGCTCCAAATCGTGCAGCCATTCGATGCGGGATCTGTCCCAACCACAGCTATAGCAATGCATCCCATGGTACTTGCAGTTATGGGGCCCGAATATGATGTCCGCATCAGTGGGTGTAGCCGGCGTTGTTTTCCCTTCTGCTATTCGCGATGCAAATGTGAAAATAAATTTGAATTTAAATTTAGTTCGCGTGGTACACGAATTGTGGTCAGACAGCAAAATAATTTGGACACAAATTTCAAGAGACTAAGAGTTTTGGATTTTAGTTAAAGGTTGTATTAAAATTATTTGCTTATCTGTCACTTCCTGAAATAATCAATTAACCTTTTTAATTGGATTTGATTTTTAGCTTTCGCTAACTTACTTCATCTATCTCTTAAAAAAAAATATATTCCCAAATCGAAACATTCCTTACGAACAAACTTAACTGAAGCCACTTGTTTAAACATGCTATACCTTTAGTATTTTGAGGATAAAGTTTAAAGTAAAGCTCGAAATAAGTTTAAATTCTTAGTTAAATTCAAAGCCCTTCTCTGCGCTTCTCATACGACGCAGCTAAGACACTTCAAGTACCAATTAGCCCATGAACCGAGTGGCCGGCTTCGCTAATAATTGAAATTCATTTTTTTTAAAAGAGCTCTGGTCACTCCAATTTTGTACGAAAGTCTAAATAGGTGGCTGAACAAAGGACAAGGGATTTCATTTATTTAAAACTTATATTAAAACTAATTATTTTATAAACTGATCAAATATTAAATACACTCGACAAAAATGTCGGTTTAAATGGGAACTATGAACAGAATTTTGTAGCAGACCTGCCTGACCTTTAACTTATGATAATCAATTCAATAAACCCTACCTTTTATCAGCAATTTGCTGTTCATATGCTTCGCCGCATGTTTCCAGGACTTGCTGGTCGGTATTTTGCAACCTCCGCCTTGCAAGCGTCGATTTGCATTGTTTATATAGATGGCCTCGAGCAGATATTGGCTGTTGGGATGCAGTCTGCTGAGTTGTTCCTTCACCGACCGAGTGTCCGATAGATATGGACGGATGCCTTCCAGAAATTGTTGCTTGTAGAGGGACTTGCTGCGCCTGCTGCCAGAACTGGGGCAATTCAGCACTTTAAGTGGCGTGTCGTTTCCGTGTGTGAACATCGTGTGAACAGGAGCCGAAAGGTCCAGAGGCAAACATCGATTCTTTGGCTAAGCGACCCGCCTGTTCATGCCGTCTTCTGTAGGCTGTGTTCGTGTGTGTCTGTTTGTTTTTTTGATTTGATTGAAACATAAAGTACTCGTACACCAACAATTTACATAATCGAAACATATGGAGTTTGAAAACTAAGGCATGGCCCTAATCAAATGTTACTCATTTGCAGAGATCGTCGAGCTGGTCAAGAGCTTTCATCCGCAAGTAATGCTGAAGCCATTTCGACCGGAGCTGGAACCCAATGAAGACACCAAGGCTGATATCAATGGCATCATAAGGCGCTGTTGGGCAGAGGATGCAGCCGAACGACCCGACTTCAATACCCTCAAGTGCATGATTCGAAAGTTTAATAAGTGAGTAACAGTCTAATTTAAATACCCAACGATATTAGTTGTTCTTTTCATTCCAATTATTTTCAAATTGAAATAAACAATAATCCTCTTCATCGTTCGGGATTCTTTTAAATAGAATAAAATTAAATGTTAAAATCCATTTTTAAAAGCAAATCATAATTCATAGGAAAATTTTTTTACAAAACAATCTTTAAGGATGTTTTAATAAAACTTAGAAAAATATACTGAAAAACAATTTTGCCTTTAAGAGAAATAATAAAATAATTTGTCAATTTAGTTTGTTCTTTTCGAAAACATAGTAATGTTCCTTTTTAACATTTTAGCTTTAAAGAAACCTAAGATTTCTTTTAATGGCTAGATCTGAAAAAGTCTTTAATTTAAATATTGAACAAAATATTGCCCTAGCGCTAAATTATAAGAAACTGTAAGAAACTTTCATTAATTTTAGTGATGCAAATGATAAAGAGAAAAATTTTAATAAAATAATTTTTTAAATTTAGAAAACTGAGTCCAACATCTGAAGCAGTTTAAAAATTTAAAACAAAACTGAATCTAAAGATAACATTTAACAAACAAAACATATTTTCTTAATATAGAAAATAAAAAAGTTCTCCTTTAGTTAGTGTTTGCAAAGAAAAATGAAACTAAAGAAACAATTTTCCTTTTTTAATAATGAATGAAGATCTACATAGTCCTATCAACCAAATCATCGATTGATAGCATTATTTATAACAATGAACAACTCTTCTAGGGACAACGAAACGGGCAACATTGTGGATAATCTGCTCAAACGCATGGAGCTATATGCGAATAATTTGGAGGAGCTAGTCGAGGAACGCACCCAGGACTATCATGAGGAGAAGAAGAAGTGTGAAAAGCTGCTCTATCAACTGCTGCCGCAGAGCGTGGCAGCTCAGCTGATCAGTGGCCAGCCAGTGGTGGCCGAGACCTTCGATCAGGTGACCATATACTTCAGCGACATTGTGGGCTTCACAGCCATCTCGGCAGAGAGCACTCCCATGCAGGTTGTGCAATTTCTGAACGATCTCTATACCTGCTTCGATTCCATTGTCGAGAACTTCGATGTCTATAAGGTGGAGACCATTGGCGATGCCTATATGGTGGTAAGTGCTTATAAAGAAATATGTAGCACATGTATTTAAATATCTCTTTAGAATAATAACTCTAAGAAAATGTACATTTAATCGCTACTTCCCCCATTTGCGGGTTGAATTTTTCACAAATATTTTATTTGTGCGTCTTGTGCTCAAATGTTAGCTGTCAAGTCGAAGTAGATCGAAGTTTGATTTGATATCTGAAGATTCTAGTTCACTTTAATATAGATCGACTAGATTTTATAACTGAAGCTTACTCTTTTTACTCTTTTTTACCTAATGTTGAACAAGTACTAACACATCCGATTTTCTTTCCAGGTCTCTGGTCTGCCGATTCGAAATGGCAATCAGCATGCACGGGAAATAGCTCGTCTGGCCTTGGCGCTACTCGAGGCGGTGCACAACTTCGTGATTCATCATCGGCCGCAGGACAGACTGAAGCTGCGAATCGGACTCCATACGGGGGCGTGTGTAGCCGGCGTGGTGGGTCTTAAGATGCCGCGCTATTGTCTTTTCGGCGATACCGTCAATACGGCTTCGCGCATGGAATCGAATGGGGAGGCACTGAAGATACACATCAGTGAGATGACGAAGAAGGCGTTGGACGAGTTTGGTACGTTCGTGACCACACAACGGGGCTTTGTGCCCATGAAGGGCAAGGGCGAGATGCTCACGTACTGGCTGGAGGGGGAGGTGCCGCGCCCCAACGACGTGATCTCACCCAGCAAATTGCTGCTGACCCGCCGCTCCTCGCTCAAACAGCCGCAACACAAGCAGCACATACTCCACAAGCAATACTCAGAGCTGGGCGTGGCCCCAACACCCACACAATTGCATATGACCCCAAATAGGGGTGGTGTTGGGTCGCCAGCGGAGGAAGAGGAACAGCGTCCAGTGGTGGTGGCAGCTGCCACCTCAAATTTGCGGGTGAAGCGCAAAATCAGCTCCTCCTCCCCCAAGCTGAATGGCAACAGCTTTGATAGCCACTTTTTCAACAACAAGACTGACGAGGGCAACTGCAATTCGGAGGCACTGTGTGCTGCGACCGCCGCTCCTGGCCAGCTGGACAGGCTGAAGCAGAAGACTTGTGATATATACAGCAGTCGCTCGTTACGCGGCACCGACGCCACAGACAACTGGGAGTTGGCCAACTTCCGGTTGCCCCTCTCTGGCGCCCTCAAGAATCACAACAACAACAGCTTGATGGGCGTCGGTCCGCTGGCGCCCCTGCGCCACTCCCACACACAATCGAATTCCAGTTCAAATCTGAGCGGCATTCTGCAACCGGCGCGCAGTCGTCTGAAGCAATCGCCCACGATCTCAATACTAATGACGTCAGCGAGTCCTGACACTGGACAACGTCAGAAGGCAGAGTCCAGCCAGCTGAGTTACAGCAGCAAAACGCCGCTGCTGGACGAGAGCCGACCGGAGGAGGGAGGAAAGCCGCAGGTGGCCATAATGGCGCCACAGACCAGCAACATTCCCCCCAGCAGTGATAATCTTTATGGCGGCGGCTATATGGGTCTGAGCCAATTGGCTCATCACCATCATCATCATGCGGCCAACAATGTGCATAGCATGAAGAATTACAAGCAGCTGCTATCGAACAGCCTGGCCGAAGAGTGTCCTCCACGCACCGTAGCCGGCGTAGGTGTGGGCGTTGGTGTTGGTGTTGGTGTGGGCGTGGTTGGAGGCGTTAACAACAGCGGAGTAACGCAACCGCTTTTGGCCAAAATCAATTCGTAGTCGTAGCTATAAGTGGGTCCATCCAAGGACCCACTTGAATGTACATTTTGAATTCCTTTCCTCCACTCCAATCGCCTCGACTCTAATCTAGATCGTACCAACTCGTAATTATGCATCTTAATGTACTTCTTTGTGATAGTAAGCTAAATCCAAGTTGAACAATTTAATAATAAAGGAATCGAAGAATACGTACATATACACATACATATATAGTATATTACACATATATGATATACACTTAACTAGTTGGTTTCTAAGTAGCGAATTGTTTTATAAACATACTGTAAACATTTCATAGGCTGTTTGGAGCGCAGCTTTGCAAGCGATTGAAAGTTACGCTTTAATTCTGAATTAATTAAGTCGTTCCTTGTGCTTTGAATATCGAAAATATCGACTCAATATATATATTCTATGTAATTTACCATCAAGAGTTAATTATTAAAGTTGATTTTAAGTGTAGAATGTAATCTAAATGCATTGTTAAAGATTTGTGTAATTATTTAGTATTAAATAAATATTTATTTTTAACCTAATGCAGTGCAGTTAATTGTCTATTTGTTTTTCAATTTGTTTAAAACGAAATCTCTACGACCAGACGTGCATTTAACAAGTACGATTTAATAAGTCAATCCTTTAATTTTAAACATTGCAAAAACCAACAAATTATAGTTTCTTATAATTAATGCTAATTATTTGATGCATACTTATTTTGTATATATTATTCTTATATATTATACCCAAAGGTACACACCAAAGGAGGCGTGGCAAATCCCACAAGGATCTCAGAAGGTGCAAGAGCTAGAATTACCAAACTTGGTATCCAGACTCCACTTAGCCCTAGATAGATCAAGTTTGCCCCGCCATTAGTAATTTTCCACGCATATAAACACACAAATAATTATTCCACAAATATGTTCAGAGTATTTCAAAGTCGGGACACCCGACTTAAGCTTCTCCACTTGTTATAAACTGAATTAAAATTTTTTTTATCAATTAGTAAAAATCTGTTCGCACGCGTTCCTTTTACACCAAAATTTGTGAATAGTAGAATTATAATTTTTGCAGTTTCGGAAAAATCTGCCATTTAAGTAGAACACACAACACTTTAAATATCTTTCGCCATTGTGTCTACTACTTAAAAGATCAGAAAAACACTACAGGAAGACGATGTGTTCAATGCTGTTTTCTCAAGAAGTAAATTTAAAAAGTAGAACTTCGTATAAGCACTGCATTTTAATTGTTACTACTTAAGGAACAAGCATCCTTTTTATAACTTAAAAAAAAAAAAAAAAATGGAGTGGAAGCTCTTTTATGACTGATGCATCGTATTTTTCATTATTCGTGATTATGTTAACAGAAAGATACTTGGGTATTTATCTCTTGGGTAGTTATCTCTTGGCTAGATAACTCTTGGTACGAGTGTAGACTATAATAGGTATACGCTACACAAATACTTTCCAAACTATGACGGTTTTGCAAGCAAAAAAAGAAAATTAAGTACTAATTCTTCAAAATGCTTTGGAAGCGTTATCTTCTTTACATATTGGTGTTAGTTAAATCGTCACTTAATTCCCTTTTCAGTCAACAGAACCAAAATACAAATATGTTTTTGTGCGTCATCCTTGCGCAGGGGCCCTTCTAGTCTCCTCTGTATCGTTCCAATTTGGACCGGTATGCCCTACTGCTGGGATGTCTTCACTTTTGTATGTATGTATGTATTAAATATATTTAATTAAATTAAATTTAATTTATTTATTTAATTTTTTTAAATGTTCATTTTTTGTGGAGAGTGCAGGCTATTGTACTGTCGTTTCCAACACATTTATTGTTAATGCCCGAGGTTATGCACTTAGAAGTTGAAAGCCAGATTATACATATTTAAAACTAATATAATATTACTCTCTGCTTGTTTGCCTTCTCATCGGAAGAGCTGAAGAGAGAGCAGAATACATATATGCTAGGTTACTTACGCAACTACATTTTATTTATATTGTATATATGTATATTGAAAATTGTAACGCAAACTCAACTAAAGCATTGCAAAATTGAAATCTTTTTCATAGTGCGTTAATTTGAATTAAAGTTGTCTAATCGATAACAAAATGCGCATTGAAATTCGGCGGGGTATTTTTTGGTATTTTTTTAGCACTCGAACGGTCACTCGGAACGCGCAGTTACCATCACAACAGCTGGCGGCTGCTAAGTGCGGCATAAAAGTTGAATAGTAAACAGGTAAATTGCATAATTCAAAAATAAATATTCATGGCGTAGCATGAGTTGCACATTTTATTTGGGAACTGCTCCAGAATATGTGCTAATTAATTAAACTCAAACTACATTAATTTTCCGCACCACACTTATGTGGATTTTGAATTTGAGACGTGCGCTTTTTTATCAATTGTGAAATAGCAGACATAGACACCCATAAAAACAAAGGGCAACGCGCAAAAAAGTATTTATAATATATTTATACTATATGTATGTATGGATGTGCATACATACATATGTATGATAGTGGTAGATTATATCAAATCACATTCTGACTAACCGAAGCGGGACGTGAACCGCTTATCATAATTAGAAATTATCAACACCAACAGTTTTTACACTTGTCTGGCTTTTTTGTGTCGGTCGGGGGCTTTTATTGTCAATAACACGAAATTTTCTCTACAGTCAACCACCACCAGCATGCTGTACTGTCCACCGAACGTAACGCTCAACGAGATTTGGGTGAATCATGGCATCTCGCACTGTTTCATGGACACTGTGGGGCCGGCGGTATGCGGCGGAATGTTGCTGATCTTTGGCACCATACAGCTCTTTATGTATCGCCAATACGCCATACCGATCACAGATCCCACACTCATATCCAAATCCCGTCTATATGCCCTCCAATTGTTCCTGCTCTTCTTTATGCCAGTCCTGGCACTGCTGCGATTCTTTGTGAACTCACGCATCTATGTGGATAGCGCTACATATGGGTATATGGTAAGTCTATAGTTGCCAGTGAGTTACTCTGATTGTTTATTAATTTCCACTATTCTTGTATCAAAAGATATTCTCGACGGCTTTTATATGCTTTGCGTATCCCTTCTCCATAGTTCTGATACGCAAAGAGCGTCATTTTCAGCTGCCATCGCTGCCTACGCGCGGCCATGGCCTCACCTTGCTGCTCTTTTGGACTTTGGCGTTCATTAACGAATCGTTGGCATTCATTAATCTGCGCCAAGAGGACTGGTGGTTCCATTTGAAGACGTACGTCCTATTTTTATAATTGAAATATTAGTTACAATGCTTAATATCCACAGGAATAAGGACGCTATCGAAATGGGTTTCTTTGTGACGCGCTATTTGAGTTCGCTGCTCATTTTTGTACTCGGCCTGAAGGCTCCGGGTATTATGGGACCCTACAATCCTCATCAGCGTCTGGACAATGAATCGGGCGATGAACGGGAGGAAAATACGCAAAGCGGCTCTGCTTTTCGCAATGGCTGGCGCAAGTTACGCACACTCTTTCCCTATCTGTGGCCGAAGAAAGATTGGACCCTACAATTTGCAGTAATGGTGTGCATAACGCTTTTGATTGCCGGTCGCGTTATAAAACTCTTTTTGCCGATTTATCGCAAGAAGTTGGGTAGGTCAAGTTTTTTTTGTCCAAGCGCGAGACCTTTGTTAATCAGTTCTCTCTTATAGTGGACAGTCTGACCATTGAACCCATTCTCTTTCGCTGGGACTTTGTGCTCATTTATGTGGCGCTATCGTTTCTGCAAGGCGGCGGCACCGGCGGTATGGGATTGTTCAACAATCTGCGCACCTTTTTGTGGATACGCGTGCAGCAATACACGACCCGCGAGATCGAGATCGATCTGTTTAGACATCTCCATCAGTTATCGCTGCGTTGGCACTTGCAGCGCAAGACAGGCGAAGTGCTGCGTGTTATGGATCGCGGTACAGACTCGATCAACAATTTACTCAATTACATATTCTTTTCCATAACACCAACCATTTTGGATCTGTTGGTGGCTGTGGCATATTTCATTTATGCCTTTAACTGGTGGTTTGGTTTGATTGTGTTCCTCACTATGTTCTTGTATATTGGTAAGTAGTTGTCGAAGTTATTGCTTAAAAGCGGAAGCTCACCTTTTGTTTCCATACAGCATCCACCATTCTGATTACGGAATGGCGCACCAAATACCAACGCCGCATGAATCTCGCCGATAATGAGCAGCGCGCAAGGAGCGTCGACTCCCTGCTGAATTTCGAAACTGTCAAATATTATGGTGCGGAGCATTACGAAGTCGATTGCTATAGGGAGGCAATTCTGAAATATCAAAAGGAGGAATTTCTATCGATGGTTACGCTGAATATACTGAACACGGCTCAGAACATCATACTATGTTTGGGGCTGCTCACGGGCTCACTACTCTGCGTCTATCTGGTGGTGCACCATCAGACCCTCACCGTCGGCGACTTCGTGCTCTTCTCCACCTACCTCATGGAGTTGTACATGCCACTGAATTGGTTCGGCACCTACTATCGTGCCATACAAAAGAATTTCGTGGACATGGAAAACATGTTCGATTTGCTGCGCGAGGATCAGGAAATTGTGGATGCCCCTGGCAGCGCACCTTTGCTTACCGCCGGCGGCGGCATTGAGTTCAACAACGTTACCTTTGGCTATTCTCCAGAAAAGTTGGTGCTTCGGAACGTGAGCTTTAATGTGCCCGCAGGCAAAACTGTGGCCATTGTCGGACCCTCTGGTGCCGGCAAAAGCACACTTATGCGTCTTCTCTTCCGATTCTACGATGTACAAACAGGCGCCATTCTAATTGATGGACAGAACATTAAATTGGTTCAGCAGCAAAGTCTGCGACAGGCTATTGGTGAGTTACTGCAGCTTTTTTTAAAAATGTATGCATTTTAGAGGTAGCTACATCGAATTTCTTAGTCATCTATATTTACTAATCAAATTACGGGCTTTATTTTTTACCGCGAATTACATATACTAAAAACTATAATTTCCGATGTTCATCATTCAGTACTTCATTATTAATTTTTACCTTCAAAAATATAAGCTAAAATCGAACAGGTCTGTTCGCGTTCCGAGTAATTGTTATAGTTAAATGTTATTAATCGACTCACAGACTGCTTGGCAATTTAAAAATATCCCAACTCTTAATAATCTACGATTCTTCTTAAACGGAAATAAATAGAAGAGGTTTTAAACTGGACAATTTCATTGTAGTTTTATAGGATATTTATTATGCTTTATGATTATACTTTTCTAGTAACAAAGAGGTATTAAATATTTATATATAAATATTTAATTTATATATAATATTTATTTTAATTAATTTAATTTATGTATAAATATTTAATTCTAATTTTTATTTCTTAATTAAAATAATTTTCGAATGAATTGAAATAATATTTTAAGGCTACATATTTCGAATTTGAACTTATTATTTTATATTTAAGACTGTTTTAATTTCATTTTTAATATTTTTTTAGGTCTGTTTGATAACTCTTAAATGTAAAATATTTAATGGCTCTTCTTCCACAGGCGTTGTACCACAGGATACGGTGCTTTTCAACAACACAATATTCTTCAACATTCAATATGCGAAACAAGAGGCTTCGGACGAAGCCGTCTATGAAGCGGCACGGCTTGCGGATATACACGATCGTATTCTGGGCTTCCCGGATCGGTATGAGACGAAGGTGGGCGAGCGCGGACTGCGGCTTAGCGGAGGAGAGAAACAGCGTGTGGCGATTGCGAGGACGCTGCTGAAGGCGCCGATCATTGTTTTGCTGGATGAGGCCACCTCAGCGCTGGACACGCACACGGAGCGGAACATACAAGCGGCTCTGGCGAGGGTCTGTGCGAATCGGACAACCATTATAGTGGCACATCGGCTGTCGACGGTGATACACGCGGATGAAATCCTTGTGCTGCAGGAGGGCAGCATTGTGGAGCGTGGCAGTCACGATCAACTGCTGCAGCGCGTCGATGGCATCTATGCGGACATGTGGCAGCAACAGCTCAAGAGCTCCGATGTCGAGCAGAGTGCTAGCGGGGACAGTGGCACGGAGGAGCTGCCGCAGGCATCGAACAAACGGAACACACAGGACAGCGGCAGTTCCAGCACCTTGCTAAGAGCTGGTCACGCGCATGGCGGCGCGCGCTAAAATTGTATAATTAAATAGCAAATATTTTTAAGAAACACTCCGGTAGCTCTGTTATTCCCGTCTCTTGTGATTCTGGTATTTGTTATATATGCCTGCATCCTATCCTTTGTAATATGTAATAAATAAGTGTACGATTTTTTTTAAAACGACAATCCCTTTAACTGAGCATTAAGAGCATTTGCTCTTCATCCACTTATCAAGCGAACCTCTGACAAGGCCAGTCGGCCAGAGACGCTCAGAACGCCTGATAGTCTCAGGCTGAGCTCAGTGCGAGTTTGAAGCGCGAACGAAGCGGACGTGGGATTTTGAAAAGCGCAAAATACATTGAAATAGAGATCGAAACCAAATCGATTAAAAGAAACGGTGGTTTGTTTCAAAAGACATTCAATTAATATATATATATATTTGTGTGTATGGGCAAAAGTTTAAGGAATCTATAAATTGAATAATAATTAATAATGCGGCTCTTGCTGAAATGTGGCGTGTTCGTGTGTATGTAAAAATAATCCAAGTATCTATATCTATCTGATTAGTAACACTAATTATACATATGTATATATATATATAAAAATATATGATTAAAGAAAATGACGTAATATTAATTTGAATGAGAAGAAAGATGATTTCAATTAAATTGAAATAAAAGCAGCATTATATGTCATTTATTAAAATATGTATATTTGATTAAAAACATTTGCGCACAGTGACGACGACGCGACAACGACAACTGCTCGTAATCTTTAAACATACATAAAGCATATAGTATATATACATACATAAATACGTATACATATAGACAAAATTCAATTGATAAAGAAGATGAATTGTATTGGGATGCTGTTGCCCCTCCATAGCCGATTCGGTTTGATGTGAAAAGTTTTGGGCTGAAAAAAAAAAAATAAATAATAAGAAATGAAATGGACGAACAACAATTTCAATTTCAATCAATTTTTCATCAGATCTATTTCTGTTCATCGATGTCGGTCGTGCCTTCAACATAATTGGCATCAATCAGCAAATGCTTTATGAGTATGTCGGCAATGTGCTGGTCGGTGCCAAGCCCCAAGATGAAGGACATCCCTCCTCCCCAACAACCGGCTGGATAGTGCGCGGCAAACTAACCCTTCAGCGGCAAACTGAACTTATTATGGCAGCAGCGGTGAGTTGTTGAGTATTTTTTAAATCAAATTATGGCGGATAGTAATCTGATTTATACGAAAAAGGCCTTCAAATTGATCTTGACCTTTAAAAAAATAGCTACTTGTTGTTATAGTTCTCGATTATCATCAAGCAAGCCATACACAAGTTTTCCAATCACTCATACACCTATATATATAATAAATAATATATAAGTGGTATTCTTGCAATTTATTTTCGTTTTTTAGGTAAAGAAATAAAATAGAATTCCCAAACACAGGCGTTTAAGATAAAAGTTAAATGTTTTAGAGTTGTTTTTGGTGTAAAACTGAATAAAACCAATGAATAAACTTATCCCACAAGAGTTTATTCAGATGATCCCAATACCGTAATAGACTAAAGAGCTTTGTCATCAAAACAGTAACCTTAATAACCAAAAATCCAATCTGTTGTCGTTATTCCAGCGACTCACCCAATACCTTTGTAAATAAATATTTTGTTTGTAAACAAATTACTATTTACAATAACAATTAGTTCATACTTGAAAACGAATCGTTCCAGTTCTTAGGGATTATTTTAATTAACAAAAAATTAATTTATTCAGTTGAACAAATATTTAAAAATATTTATTTGTGTTCCCTCTACATTTTCTAAACAATCTGGGAGCACAGACTTCCAAAGATCTTCCCATAAATTTTCCTTTATAAATCCAAACGTTTAACTGATCTGGGACTACGGATTGGATTTCTATAAACTCTTTCGGTGCTGACAGTGTCGCCTTTTTTTTTGCTCACTATCTCGAGATCCCAGCAGTCCCGGCATTATTTACTCCACGTATGTGCTGTTTAAAATCAAATAAATTCATTGGTTCTATTATCAATTTCTACAATTTAATAAACAGAGAGAGCAATGTAAATAATCTGAGTAATAGCAATAATAATAGGTGTAGGGTTGGGGTAGGGGTAGCACTATTATTGTCAGACCGGCCGCTGCGACTGCTCTTTGGATGCTTTGCAAAGGAATTCTCAGAAGAAGAATTAAAAACAATTTAACTTTAACCTTTCGCAGACGACAGCGACAGAGTCAGAGTCAGAGACTCCAAGAAATGGTCGCCGTCGTCGTCGTCGTCGCCTCCATCGTCTTCATCGTCAGTGCACAATGAACTGAACTTTGCTGTGAACTTCTCTTGCGTTCAATGAGATGGGTGAATCGTATGAAAATTGCTATAGATACGTACATACATACTCACACATACATATGTATAGTATGATGCTACAAACTTCACACACTTATGTATACATACATATGTGTGTATCAGCATCCATGGGCGACGTAATCAGTTTTGATTGTTTTGACTGTGGGATCGGTTTGGTTTGTTATCAGCCGACATACTCGTACACATGTCGGCCATATGTAACCGAACGTTCTTGGGTCTGACGCATTTTGTGTTGTGATTTTTATGGCAAAGATAAACCGAACCCGGTTATCAGCACACTATACAGCTGATCAGACAGTCTGGGATTTTCCCAGAGCGCAGACAACAGACAACACACAAGGGGTCTTTAATATTTTCCCCTTATCTCTAACATTGACAGCTGGTCATTGACGATGTTACGCTGAACAATTCGGGTGAAAAGTTTCTGCAGACTAAGGAGATGTATCCGCCATATAAGCCCTTCAAGATTGTTCTAACTAAAGAGGGCACAATATCGCATGTGATCTTCAAAGAAGGTGATCCCATCTGGTCGATCAACTTTAAGCGCGCCATTGCCTCGATTTTGCAATTCCAAATGAAGTCTAGTGGTGCCTTCGTAGTCGATGAGGTGAGTGTTGGAATCGCTTTACATTTTTATATATCACCCCTCCACTATAATGATCAACAGATCGGTATACATGGCAAGTGTCAAACAGAGTATTTTATATCGAATAAGACGAATTATATATCGATCCGCAAGACTCCGGAGCTTAAGACCTGCGTACCCTACTCCGAGGCTATCCATCTAACGCGCAGCAATGTTCCCAATACGTGCGAGTTCGATCATCAGAAGAGCGTTATTGTGGGTAATGAGGCCATCTACGGCTTGTTGCCCCACAACGAGACCGGATACTTTCTGAGCATGGCCCATGTAAAGGGCACCACTCTAATACACACCTTCGAGTCGACCGGTGAAGCGCAGTACATTAACTCGGAGTAAGTCTATTCTTCTTTAAGTCCACGTCTCTCTAAGCTTCCTGTTTCATATTTCAGACTGCTGCTTAACTTCCTGAATGAGTCCCCCATCGATAACGCCATTGACATTGAAACTTCGATGGCTTCGGAGTCGCAGTTTTCGAATTTGGAGCTACAGCCGCTAGAACTTGACGATCCCACGGGCGGACGCAATCCCCAGCAACAGGAAACGCTTATGACTGCGGCCGCGGGCCTGCTCGACAACCTAGCCGAGGCTCTGGAGAGTACAGAGTTTAAGTTCAGCGAACCGTACGATTCAACGGTGTCTGAGGTGATCAAGCTGCTTAGCGAAATGAATTTGGATTCTCTGAAAAAGCTCTACACAGATGTCGACATAGGCACGTCGTATCGCCAGGAAACCATACGTAATATCTTCCATGAGATAATACCGCGCATTGGCACCAAGGCTTCAGTATTCCTTACCCACCACCTGGTGGTCGAGAAGCAAATTAAGTCCCCCATAGCCGTACAACTGCTTATACCAATGCCCTTCCACATATTCGAACTATCAGCGGATTTGGTCAAGAAATGCGAGGACTTCTTAACCATCGGTCCGGATCGACCGGATGTGCGTCAGGCGGCGATCTTAAGCTTCGCCACACTAGTCTATAATGTCTATGTAGCTCGCGGCATCGACAAGGACACCTTCGAGGAGTATGTGCAAAAGTATTTCAATTTACTTCTAAGTAAGCGAAAGGGATACTTTAATAGCTTTTGCGGTTTTTTAAAACTTCTTTCTCTTTCTATCTCCTCCCTATAGATGATCGGGACTATGGACAAAAAATGCTTTATCTTCAAGGTCTCAGCAATCTGCAGCTCGGCAATGTTGCCAACTATTTGGAACCCATTATGCTCGATGTGAATGGCAATGAGGATTTAAAATTTCTAGCGGCCTGGGCCACCATCTCCTTAGTTAACACACGCCCCGAACGCATTTACGAAGTCTATTGGCCCATTTTCGAGTCTCGCAATGCCAGTCTGGAACTACGTGTGGCAGCTGTTACGCTTCTCTTAATTTCTAACCCCACCGCCGCCCGCCTCATTAGCATACATCGCATCATACAGAGCGAAACGGATCCGCACATGATTAACTATTATCGTACCACGGTGACAAGCATCTCGGAGACTACCTATCCCTGTTATCAGCATCTGTAAGTCATGAAAATTGTAGAGAGGCTTTAAGACCTATCACTTATGTAACTAACTTAAACCCAGCTTCTGAACTTAAAAAGTGAAGTCAAAAATAAGGTTGTCAAACAGGGAAATGAAGACAGACAGACTGTAAAGGAATACCATCCCAGATACAGCTGGCCCGAGTTCTGAAAAAGAGTCAGAACAGAAATATATGAACTTCATTCATTCATTTCAAATGCTGTTCACATTTTGATTGAAGACTTTTAGTTACCTATAAACCTTCATATCGGGTTTCTTTTCGTAGCATTTTTCTATTTTCAAACGCGTCTTAGAGATGTAATCCTCTACTAATTCCGCTTTAAACATTTTCCTTTCAGGCGTCGCCTGCTCTCATATATGCATCGTCATTTGCCACAAAAGCCAGAACCACGCTATTGGGTGACAGGTAACTACATATTCGACTACAGAGACTCAAAATTCGGCATAGGCGCCATGCTACAGGCCTTCCTAGTTGGTGATCCGAAGTCGGATATGCCCGTGGTGGGCTATTTTAAATTTGATACTGAAGCGTTGGGCAAATTTACGGGACAATTGGCGGTAAGTGCTGCGAATAAATAGACAGGTATACTCAAATTTATAACCCCCGATTCCACAGCTGTATATCAAGGCGCGTGGGTTGCCGGATGCCATATTTGAGAACGCATTGCCCAAGAACGCAAGTGATCCGTTCACTTTTCAGAGCATTAAAAAGCTACTGGCCATGCTGAAGGCACCTGTCATCAGTTCGAAGGCTCTGCACTTTGAGTTTATACTTCAAATGGAGGGAAAGACTGTGCTATCCTATTATCTTAACCAGCGCATGATGCAGCAACTCACCTACGAGAACAGTGAGTACTCGTAGTTTTTCCAGGGGTTATCATTTCATTGAATTTCTTTGCAGTTCTGAATCGGATTAAGCTGCTCATTCGCACCGACAGTCACATCAACATGCAGACCGTGCGTTGGCCCTTCATGAACAGATATGTGGTGCCGACGGTGCTGGGCACTTCGGCCGATGTTCTGCTGCAGACGACGGTGTTAACATCGCTGCGCGGCAACATCACACAGCATCGGGACCGGGATGAGACCAAGCATGCTTTGGAGATCGATGCGCGGTACTCTTCCTACGCCTCGGTGCGTAGTCGCAGCTACAATCCGTTCCTCAACCTCGATCACGAGATCAATCGTGAGCAGGGCTTCCTCATTTACATACCGTTCAACAATGAGCTAACCTACAACGAGAGCTGCAAGTGTGCAAGATATACGCTCACACGTCCACAGAACCTAACTAGCGGGCTGTCCTTCAAGTCTCGTGCTGTTACCACAACACGAGGCCTAATTACCAAAACGGCAGCGGCGCCCTTTGAGGAAACCCTCTATCCAGAGCGTGGCAGTGAAGTGGTAGGTCCGGGCCTTAAAACTAACTTCAAGTTCCGCTGATAATGTTTGTTATTTCCAGTTCCAGCTCTTCAGCCACACGATACCCGACTTGGGACTAACGCTTTCCTTCAACACAAACCTTAACGAGCTGGTCAAATACCGTGGTATGCTGCTCAAATCGGAGTTCACGGAAAAGTACCATCCACCTTTATCCATCAATCGTTTGCAATTTCATTAACTAAACTGCTCCTTTTTCTTTTTATTTTTCTTTTCTACAGCGGCATGTCGCGCAACATGTTTGTCAGCATAATGTTGTATGTATTTGGATTTACCCAACTAAGCTCCATACATTTGGGTCACGATCGGAACTTCACGCTGTTGGTGTACAATGAGAATGCCACTAGGGTAGGGTTACAAACTAAAAAAACGCTGTGTGCCTATATTCTCTCATTTTTTGCCATCTTCTATCCAAGATCGATGGCTCTATTTGCCGGGAAGATGTCATCAACACACCCGATCTGCGAGGACAGCAAATCGGCTTTACATTGCAGCATGCCGATGACACCCACAACGTGGAGGCACTGCACAAGTGGAACCTCACACTGGATGTGCAGACATCGACAAAGACTAACTGGTTCCAGGTGCGGGGAAAAATTCAACGCAACTCGAAGACCGATGGAGCGGACTGGAAGGTAGGTTGACGGGCATAATTATAATTTATTCATATTTATTTGTGTTTCTCAGCTTATATACAACAAAATATTCTCATGAACAATCCCTAACGATAATTGACGAAGAAATGCACGTCAGTTTTCAATATACATACAAGTATTATTTTCATTCATTATATCTCTGGTGAACCCCAAAATTTGCATACACACTACGGTTTCAACTCTCGAATGCGGCTTTAGCCCTCCTGGCCAGCCACCTCTAGTTCCTCCTCGGCATTAATCAATGCCACCACACCATCCTGCAGGGACTTGATTAACTCGAACTCTGTATAGCCCATGCGACGTTTATTTGATATGTCCATGACGCCATCCACAATTTCGGAATGCTCGCCGGCAGTGCCGCGCACCTGCAGCTGCAGCTCCTCGGCCATGGCCCTAAGACGATCCTGATCTTTGGACAGCAGTGGCAGGCGTATGTGCACCGATGCGCGAAGGGTGGTGCCCAAATTAGTGGGGCAAGCGGCCAGATTTCCGTAGCGCGGATGACGCGCAAATGTCAAATTCTTCTCCAGCTCCTGAATACCGATGACTAGACGATTGTACACGTCGCCCAGATCGCCACACTGAGCCATCGAGATTATGCGCAAATGATCTTCCTCATTGACCCAAATTAGGAATGTCTTGGCGGGGTTATGATAGATACCGCGACCGGTGGGCCAAAAGCGATAGGCCCCAGCGGTGGTCAGATAGGCATCGCCACGCTCAAAGAGAATGTGCTCCTTGACCATTTCCTGCTGAGTCTCCGAGTCAATGTCTGCCATGGTCATATAGGTGCCAATGTGCTCTCCCTCCAAGGTCTCCGTAGCGGCTCGCACCCGCTCCTCCACCTCAATGAACTGCTTCTCAGTTAGCTTCGGAAAGAAGGGATAGCCCTCAATGTTACGGGCTAGACGTATGCGAGCAGATAAAATGTATTTGCGCTCTGCATCCAGATTCTCAATCTCATCCACATTGCCCCAATCGGTGTCTTTCTGCAACACATCGCTGTCGTTATCCTCCAGACCATGATAGTCCTTGATAATTGGATCGAACAGTTTCCCAAATGTATCATAACTCTCTGGATCCGCTGCATAAATGCCCACGGCAGAGTCGTGATGCTCGAAGCCCGAGACAGCACAATCGTACAAATAGGCATCCACTGGTGGGGAGGTGGTGACCAGCATGTACTCCTCCAGCAAATCGGGTGTAAGATATTTGCGCAAGAGCGAGTTGAAATTCTCCTCGTCGTCGGTGAGGGACTTGTAGCCGGCCAAGGTGAGTTCCTGGTACTCCTCTGGTGACTTTTTACTGCAAATCCATCGCACATTAAAGCTGATAACAATGGAACCCTCACTACTACTTACATCTGTCCGCGCAAACGCTCCAGCTCCTGCTCCAGTTTTGCAATGGTTGTCTTGGCCTCGTCGAGGTCGTTCTTCATTAAATCATATTGCGCATCATCGGGACAGCTCTCGCACATGAATTTGCGAACGAATCGTATGGCATCCTCCGGCTTGTTCTGCTCCTCGTACAGCTTGATCAAGGCCTTGCTTAAGGCATCTATAACCCCGGCTCGTTCCAGATACTTGCGATATTGCACGCGTTTCGATTCGATCTAGGCATGAAGCAGCGAACATTACTTCATGATTTCGATTAACTGCAGAAGGGAGGGGGGTGCTTACCGAGCTCATTTTGAAATTTGTTGCGAAAAAGGGAAAATCAAACGAAAATTTAACACAAAATATTTAAAGGGTTAAGCCTAAAGGTTTGTCTGCTCACAGACGCCGAAAAATTGGCAGCCAACTCCGTGGCACGTTTTGATTTTTAGCACGCGTATTCCGTTTTACTGTTTTGTAGATTATGCGAACAATAATTTTTTGGTTGAATTTTCGTTTATTTAGAGAAATGCGTCCGAACTGTATCGTAGCTGACTGCCTTCTGAAATTAAATATGACTTATCGATCAAACGAGTCAGACGAAAGCAGCGCCTGCCCCGTTCGCAGCACCAACTCCAATGCGGTAATTAAAAGAAAGCACACACACACCCACCAAGTAGGCTGTGCTCCAACTGACTAACTGACTGACTGACTGACGACTAACCGACTAGCTGACTAACTGACTGACTGAAGTGGCACGCAGACAGACAAATGGACGGCGCGTCGACAGGCAGCCAGGATATGTTTAGGCCTACTAATCGTTGCCGCAGTTGTTGTGGTTGTTGGTCGTGCTTTCCGTCGTTGTCTGCGAGTTTCGTTCGTCATGGTAATGCCACCCCCACATCAACTAGTACTTGACACAGCGCCCAAGCCTACATACATACTTTATGCTATATATGTATGTATGTCTGCACTTGTGCATGCATACAGGGTGTCTGAAGAGTTATTCACAGCTTAGCCTCCTGTGCTCACCCCATTCCTTCGTCCATTGCAGGCCTGCACCAGAATAACCTACGAGCCTCTCGTCTTCACCAAACGCCCACACACTCTCAACGGCCACATCGAGTTCGGCAATGCCGCCGTCAAGGGCGAGTGCCCCCAGGATGGATCCAGCGTTCAGTTTGCAGCACGCGCGGGCGTAAGTAATTGCGATTATTATCTAATAACTTCACAATTGAATAGTCTCTTGTAAAGCACGTCCTAGTCCTCAAGTTCTTGACATCCTAACATCGAAAATTTCCATTATAATTCCAATCTCTAAATAATTCTATACAATTAAACATTCTCTTACTCATGAAAAGCTCTCGGAGCAAGCACGCGCTTTTCTCAGCTCCGATCAAATCTCGCTCACCGACGCTGATTTCTAAAATTCTTACCTTCTTAACATCGATCATTTCCATTATAATTCCCATCTTTAATTATTTCTATAAAATTAAATATTCTCTTACTCATGGAAAGCTCTCGGAGCAAGCACGCGCTTTTCTCAGCTCCGATCAAATGTCGCTCACCGACGCTGATTTCTAAAATTCTTACCTTCTTAACATCGATCATTTCTATTATACAAGTAATTCCCATCTTTAATTATTTCTATAAAATTAAATATTCTCTTACTCATTTAAAGCCCTCGGAGCAAGCACGCGCTTTTCTCAGCTCCGATCAAATCTCGCTCACCGACACTGATTTCTGTCCCAAAGAGGTTCTCAAATTCTCACCCATACCCACCTCCAAGTATTGCAAGCGCAGCAATTTTGAAAACTTTACGGCCATAACGCAATATGGCATGGATCTGAAGTTCAAGAATGTAAGTAAAATCTTTAGATTTGAATCGAATCCATCCATTATCGTGACTTTCTTGACAGATGCCCGCCTGGTTTGACTTGTGGTCCAATCGTTTGGATCATCTGGTCTCTGCATTGTCCTCTCACAGAGTGGACAGCCTGCAAATGAGTCGTGAGATCAATATTAATATGCAAACGCAATCTGATTACTTTTGGCTGACGATTGAGGTGAATGGAGTCCAGTGGCGTATCTACCACATCCCCTTCCTATATAAGCTGGACTCCAAGTTCGATGCCTCCCATGAGTTGACCTACGATTCAGGCTATAAGCGTTCCTGTTCGCTAATCAACGGCATGGTCAATACTTTCGATGATTATTTGATAAATTTGAACGAGTTCTCCACCCAAGTGGGCTGCCTGACCCTGCTGGCCGCCGACTGCTCCCCATTCCCAAAAATGGCCGTCTTCCTGACCCCCTCACCCAGCCATGGTCTGAGCAGCAATTATGGCTTGCGAATACACATTGGCCAGAACTATTTTAGTTTCTACCCGCGGGAGGGCAACTCCACCTCCCTGGACGAACAGCCCGTCCTGATTTATATAAATCAGGCACAGACGCCCCACGATGTGCGCCTCAAGCCATACCAATGGCCCATCGATGCCAACGAATACGACTTCCGGTAAGTCGCATAACAATTCTTCAATGGCGGAATTTTACTTAATCGGCTGTTATTACTTTCCAGCGTCGAACTTAACGAACAGAATATACTGATTGTCGAGTGCATCCAACTCCATGCCACAATACAGTTTGACATGTTCAATATTTTGAACTTTGAAATCTATGGGGTCTACAAACATCAGATGTGTGGACTATGCAGCAAGCCCCTAAATCGCATGAACAACTATACGTACTGTGAGCACTCATCGGATCCGGTTTCGGTTTCCGAAGCAGTTGGAAAAGCGTAGGTCTCCTTCTCTCTATAGAATTAAACCGAAGTCGTTAAATTTAAGATTATGATATGACAGTTCTTGCTAATTAAATAAATAAAAGCAGCCACTCTCAATGCAAGTTATTTCCAAGGCGCTGAAGAGAATGGGAATACGAATTTGGAACACCTTTTCTCATATAGATATGGAATAGAATGATAAGTTTTCAATAAATACATTTGCAAAAATAGGCAACAGGAACAGATGTGTACTGCGATAAAAAGGAATCTTACAAGTATGTGTACAAATCTGACGTTTAAAAATTTGACGCGCATACATCTTATGGGATATTTGAATAGAGATCTGAGCTTCGGACGTTGATATCTTACGTGAGATCATGACCAACAAAAAAGCTTCCTGTGTGCAGAAATCTGAAATCAGAAATCTGACGCTTAAACATCTGACATGTGGACATTGGGCATGCACATCTGATGTATAGGAAATATCACTAGCGTCCACAAGCTGACAAGAGCTCCCTCCAGTTACGCCAAGGTATTAGAGCGTGCAAATGGTTCATGTTCTTTATTATTTCCAGAAAATACGCGTCTTCCATGCCACCTCGGTAGACATCTGACGCCCCACCAAAAGAAAAGTAAAAAGTCCAGTAGATTAAATGAAATAAATGGTTTATGTTTTCAATATGAATAAAAAAAGGAAATTATAAGTTTAACAATAAAATTATAAGCCTCTTATTCAATATGAAAATAATTTGGTTTTTTCTTTGTAATGAATTTTAGAAATATCTTAAAATAACGACTTAATAAACTGTGTTGCATTAGGTTTTTATTTGTATTGTCTGTTATTTATATTTTTCGAATTTATTGTGTATAGCTTGCCAATCAAAGCACTAGATTTAATTTAGGGACGCCAAAGTGTTAGGCTTTAACTGATTAATGAAATAATGAATGAAAAATTAAGTAATATTATAAACGAAAATTTTAAATTGTTTAATTAGGTAAGACCAGTTAGCAAATTGTAATGCTTAATTGCTGAAGGATATCAAAATATTTCCTATTCTTACGAATCAAGAGAGGGAAGCAATCAAATCAAAATTTATTTTCAATTCAAGTATTTGTGTTAAATTCATGATTTAAATTCAGTATTAAACAAACAAACGTGAGAGTCTATTAGATTGGTGTTTGAATAATTAAAAGAAATAGCATATGGTGATCTTTTGCTCTTCTAAACAGAAGTGTTTTAAGAAACAAAAACTTCACTATTGAAATTAAATGCTTTTTTCTTTTTCTTAAAAGTAATAGTTTGAAGTTAATCTAGTGCTTTGATTAGGGATTTTTCCATGAATTATTCTGATTTTCGTCTGTTATATATTTTAAAAGAAAAATCTATTTCTTAATTTCATATTGAGTTTCGTAAGTACTAGAAAAATTGTTTAAATTTTCGGTTCAGTGTACCAATTTGGCGCACAAAACTAAAAGTTATGCTTTGGTCATCTGGTAATTAGTACTTTTTGCAGGCAATCTGCTGCTCGCGATCGCGATGCAATTGTGTCAGCAAATGCAAACGCAATTCAGTGACAGATTCTATCTCATAATTGCATAGTTTGCATTCCATTGGCTGCAAAGTGCCCTCACTGCGGAAAAGGAATGGACAGTAAGAAAAGTAATTTATAATAATAACTATGTACTTACAAATTGCGCCAACTGTAGAGGCTTTCGCAATTCTCCTGCAGGGACAGCAAGGTGGCCTCTGATACCCTCTGTAGCTCCTGAACGCCGTGCATGGGAAATATGCAACGCTTTCCATATGGCGACTGAACAACTTGAAGATCTGGCAAGTTCTCCCAGGTGAAACTGTTATGCGTCGTATACGACTCTATATAGCTGCGATCCTTGCTGAGCAGCCTACAAAGGAAAGGAAGCGTACAGTGGCGGTTTAATCCAATATTTTAAGCACTTACTGGACAATTAAGGCACGTATCTCTTTAAATATCAAATTGCAATTACTCTTGCTCGGCAAGGGATCGGTATCGTTGCTGTATTTATAAAACATTGTGTCGATGTTATAGCGTATTTGATTGATCTAAGAAAAAAGGAAGTAGGCAAGTATTAGTTATATTTATGCAATTATTGTGGCTTTCTTATTTTATAAAACATGCTCTGCACGTTTCTTTTAAAAATGTTTATCCATTTGTGATTATACGTGCATCTTTTCTATTTCTCTCTTTTTGTTCCATGATTATTTTGTAAGCTACGAGCGAGATATTTAAATTTTTTAAGGACTTATTACATGTTACCTCAGAAAGGGGTTCTCATAATTTTTGGCATCATAAGTCAATAAAATTGTTCTATTTATTATTATTTCACTCACCAGTGTAATGTCAGCCTTATCGATATTCACATCCAGGTTCATAGATATATCGTGCTCGGAATAGTATGGTTCCATGGTCTTTCGATTGTAGCCGAGGCCAGCAAGCAGGCAAACATATTTGGTGCGGTCCATATTGCATTTCAGCTGCATGGTGGGACAGAATAGCATCGTCATGAGTGCCCCAAATCCGTGCATATTGGGCATTAGGGTTGTGTTACGGGCCTGGAGGTGATCGACCCGACTCGCAGTGGCGACTGATGCGGCCACCATCATTTGCTCGTGCTGATCCTGCGGATCGATGTCTAGTAGCACCGAATTGACCGACTCGCGGGATATGTCGACTGTCTTCCAGGTGCCAACACGCATTAGGGCGTGTACGCTAGTCTCCAGCGAAGAGAATGGACCCTTTAGACGCACGGTGTTGACGCATTTATTGAGCGGCGGCGGCTCCAATTCTTCACTGACGACATTCTGTATGGAACGCAAATATTCCTCGTTAATGTTATGCCGCTCATTAAGCGGTATGTTCCGGGCGCGCTCCTGTCGACGCAGCCGAAAATCGTGATCCTGTCGGGAGAGAAAGTCCTCGTCGGCGCGCCGAGCCCAATGATGTTCCACCAGCTTGTCGTTCAGCGTCCCTTCACGCATCGGAATGATGACAGCTGCTACGTTGTCGACCAGCGAATAAATTTCCAGCTCCACAGTACCATGTTTGGCCAGTGAGTGTAGCATATCATTGGCCTCCTTTGCCCAATTATAGTTGTAACTGGCCACAGACGATGGCTGCACAAGGGCCAAACGACACTCAAACATGCGCGGTGGCAAGTTTTTGTATTCCCGCAGCACATTGGCTGACATCAGACGCAGATCCTCCAGCGACAATTTGGCCACATTGCCATAGTCTATGAAATGCACACGAAACTGCGGCACATATCCTATTTCTGACTCCACCTTAAGCACTTCGGCGCGCTGATATGACCTCGTCAGCCGATGCCAGGCCAACAACAACTGACCCTTGTTTATAACTTTCGCCTCCCTAACAATGCACATTAGCTGCTCCCGAGAATTAAATATTTCCGACATGTTGGCAATGCATTCGCGCAACGATTGTGGCTGAAAGAAGAACTTTTCACAGCTCTCGATCTGAAATGGAAGATTTATTTGTTATTTCATTCTAATGCTTGCCTCTTGAATATCCTTTACATTTCGGGTTCATAAATACTATATTTGTGTAAAATATCTTCATAATGTTACCCTCACTAAGAGGGATTTTTCCGCCGATCGGTCCTATGACAGCTTTGCAACATAATAGGGATTTACGAAGTGTGGTGTCCATACCTGGTATAGTGCAAAAGCTATTGATGTGCATACAGACAGACAAATGCTCAGACATCCAGATATACTCGCCATGCTTATCACATTTTAGCATACTCTCTAAACATACTCGTACATTTCAAATATTCCACAAGTGGTATTATTTAATGTAAATAGGCCCTTTAAAATGCCTCCTTTTCCAATTACTGCACTAAAAACTTGTATAACTTCATTGGTTGGTGGTTTTATTTAGAGTTTGCGCTTTCAAATGTTCGGAATCGCATTGGAATTATATAAAGAGACTTTCTCTACTTACATGCGTAATCAGACCCTTAACAACTTTATCGTAAAGCGATGGCAAGGTGAGCAGATCAACACTGATGGGCTTCGATGGTGGTATCCAACGGCCTTCAATCACTTCGCCTATTTTGTTTTGCTCTACATACCTCATGGCACTGAATTGGCTGCAGATATGTAAGTAATACTATAAACCAGTTCTGATCAGATCAGATTAGGTACTCACTCCATGACCCGTATTGGATGATGCAAGCAGATCATGCGCAAGCGCAAAGCTTTGTAGACCTCTGTTACGACGCGGCCCTGCTTTTTGATTGTCTCCGTTGTATTGCCGTCGTTTGAAGAATCTTTACATTTGAAGGTGATGAAAACCTTTTCGGAGCCATGCTGGAAAGTAACGTCGATATTCTCGGGGGGTATGTTGGTTTGCTTGAAGATTTCCTTAATTTTCTCGGTGTACAGTTCGCCCATGTAGCGTGGCTCGAAATTTGTGAAGTACACAGTGCGACATGGGTCGTTACCCCCAACGATATGATATACTTCACGTTCTTGACTTAAATTCGTCTTGTTCTTACACATAAAATAGTTAGGATAGAAGGCACCCGCAATGATAATCTTCAGGATAATAGCTTTCTCCTGATCGCTCCAACTCGACTCAAGAGCAGACAAATTGAGAGTCTTGCACCGCTGTTTCAAATCGTCAACCATCAAACTCATCTCCCGGAGTGATCTCAGATTGAAGCGATAACGACGGGCCCATCGATCCGCCGAGCCAGTATGATTGCGACATATGTTGATGTAAGTCTATAATAATATAGATTCAAAACAATTATTACTCACAGCAAAACGTTGTAACAGTCCACAACGTAGATCTGTTTGGGTTTAATGATCGCACAAAAGGCTAAAAATGTAAATAGTTAGTTAGATTTGCCCGCAACTTACACGAAATACGCGCCAAATGGCAACCAAATCGGAGCCAGATCCATCGGCCATGGTGTATTGAACCCAACGTGTTAGGAAACTATTTTTAGTTTCAGGGTGCAAATAAATAGTGCGAACAGTCAGGCCAGCAGCTGCAAAAAAAAAGTAATATCATAATACTTGTATATAGTTAATATTTCTCAAGATTTCTTTGCTTACTTATGATAATGGCCTCATCGAGTATGTTGAACATATATCCGAGGATAATCAAGCGACTGAGGCGGACATCCATCGGCAGATATGACATAATATGGCCCCAATGGGTTAAATCGCCGTCCAGAGGATCGTATACACCATCAACGGTTGTGTAAAGTCCTCCAACCTCTTTCAATTGGAGGATAGTATTTCCTATATCAGACAAATTCGGTGGCGACATGGCTAAGGCTAATAATTCGACGGGCTTCATAAAGTCGAGAGCTTTCGCTTTAAGGACGGAGGTTTGCAGAGGTGCCCGCAGCATTTCTGGAATGCCAAATTCGGTCATGCAGTTGTTGAAGAAATGTCTGGTCACCATACGATAGACACGGCCACTTCTTATGCGACCCACACGGCCGGCACGCTGACGACAATTGGCTCTGGAGGCCCAGACGAGTTCCAGTTTGCTAAAATTAGTGGCCGTGTCTGTGATGAGCACTTTAGTGAGACAAAAGTCAATCACATAAGACACGTCCGGCACCGTAATAGAGCTCTCGGCAATATTAGTGGACAGAATAACCTTACGATGACCAGGAGGGGCTGGACGAAAAACTTCTTCTTGAGTTGTGGGCGTCATAAGCGAATGACAGCGCACAACAACAATCTTTAATGATGGGCTGTTGACAAGAAAAGAAGAACGTTAGAACGGCGCGAGTCCGAGATCCACCCTCCGAGTACAGGGTATACAAATAAATATGTCTCAATTTTAAGGTGGAGAGTCTTACTTTGCCTGTACAACGCTGTTTATATTCTCAGTCATCGTATCAATCTCAAAAAGGCCGGGCAAGAAAATTAAGACTGAGCCCGTGCGCAGAGAATCCATATAAGGAACTTTGGCCATATCCTCAGCCTTGCGCTCCATATTATCAATTACCAGCAGTATCTTAATGGCTGCTGCATAGCTTTCCTGATTTATGCCTGGTATAGTCGAGTCCTCCGCCTTACTTGATTCAATTACAGCGAACTGTTCGCGATAGAACTTCACCAGTGGAAACTTACGTCCATGACTCGCCGTTATAACCGGCGGTATGCGAGTCTTCGTTCGAAAATATTCGGCGAATTCCCGCGGATCTATGGTGGCCGACATCAGCACGATCTTTACGTGATGCGAGTTCAACGCCAGCAAGTGACGAACCACAATGAGCAGGAAATCCATATCCTGATCCCGTTCGTGCACCTCGTCCAGCACAATATGGGTGTAGCGTGTCAGCGATTTTTGCTTCACGAGTATGTTCAAAAGCACACCTGTGGTGCAGTACAAAAGACGAGTATCCTCCAAGTTTTTCGGTTTGTGTAGCGCCACCTGATAGGAACAAACAGTATTAGGAGACCATTTCCGTTCCTCGGAAACCCGATTCGCTATGGATATGGCAGCGATACGACGTGGCTGAGTGACCACAATGTTGCAGTATTGTTCCCGTTTGACGGCCTCATCCAAAATATATTGCGGCACCTGCATTAAATGAGTTTATAATGAGACAATTACTTCAACTAAAATATAATTGTATTCAAATAAATATTCGCCATCCAGAGGGTCCAGAGTAAGAATGCGAATATGTGTAAAATATTGAATTGAATATTTCCTCTTATACAACTGGAATAAACTGTCAACATAGATAGTAGGAAACTAGTTCAATAATAATAAAATATTGTATATATGTACATATGTAAATAAAAAGTTAATAATTAATTTGTTCATAGATTTGACTGTTCTAGTAATTATGAATTATAATATACATATACCATATTCCAGGGAACTATGTTTTACGTTACGTTTTCTTTTTATTCATTTTGAATTCCAAACGATTTTTTTTCGCACCCTCAGCATGAGAGTAGTGTGCATAAACGTTGAGTTTTAAAGAACAAGTGGCAACGTCAAGTTATTTGCGCATCTCTTTTAAAGCCGCTAAACGTAAACAAAACATACATATGGCAGTAACGAAAGAGCAGCAGAAACAGGACAACAAAAATATCTATAAAGTACCGTTCACCGCAGCGCACATGTACAAAAATGGAGCTTCACGTTTACGAAGATTGCCTGGAATTGGTGAAACACTTTTACCGCGCTTCCCAAAAAGTGCATCACGCAGAGTTCGAGTTATTCTGCGACTGCTGGCGGATGCTGCAATTCCAACACATTTTCTCGGCCCAGACCACCCATTGCGAGGTGATGCAAACAACGTCGGCAGCGCTGCATGTGGGAAAGCGTTTGGCGTGCGGACGGGAAACAAATGGGGAACTATTGGAGGGACAGTGGAAGCGGGCGCATCGCATTGGAGCCATTTATTTGTTGTACGCCATTTACAATAAACAGCCGACAGAGGAGTTCGTTAAGATTGAGGTGTCGCCACAGACATGGGATGAGCTGACGGGCTATGTGGAGGAACTGCGGAGTGAGGACGGCGATCGGCGTGACACGCAACAAGTGAGTTATATTTTTTGGAAACTCGTGCAGCAGGGTGCGTTCTGTTTCACGGCGCTCGATTATTGCCGAGGTCTGGAAAATCTGATTAACTACGACCAGCTGTTCAAGACAATACAAACTGAACGGAAGGGCAAAAAATTGAATCGAGAGTTGGCGCTAAAGCAACAGATACGGCCAGCCGATCTCGATTTGGACGATGAACAAGTACGAGTGCGCGCATTGCAGCAGTCCTGCAAGTCCCTCAGAAGACTCGAGATGACATACAATCATCAAAAGGAACAATTGGCGCAGGGGCCAAAACATCACCGAGCGCTGCCCAACACTAACATATTCGGGCACCTGATGGAGCTCTTCGATGACGTTGGTCAGTTGCTGCGACGAAGCCCCACTGACGAAGACCAGCCCTCCACCTCAAAGTCAACTGCAGTAGCATCAAAGGGTGAGGCGCGTCAGCTATTAAAGCGGAAGAACGCGTATAATTACTCAGACAGGATGGATACCCGTTTAGAAGAGGAGGAGGCGGAAGAGGAGGATGCAGGAGAGGACGAGGCAGAAGATCCGGTAGTAGAGAAGCGCATGTCCACAATTTTCGGTCCAAATTTGCCAGATGAATTGGCCAAGGAGCTGGAACTAATTGAAGAGTCGAGTAGTAACTCTGGGGAAATGTAGCTCAAAATATTATTTAAAATGTAATAGTAACTAAAATATCATTTACCTAAGCATAGATTAGGAAACAACGATTATTTCTAATTTAAAAATATATATCACATACTACTTGTGTATTAGTATTTTGCTTACCTGAGTGGTTTTTCCGCAACCCGTCTCTCCCTTAATGATAACAATTGGATTTTTGTCGATGGCCTCCATGATCTCCTCACGTTGGGCATATATCGGCAAACTGGTGTCCCGTTTTAAATCAAAATGGAATTTTTTATAGTATTCCGCGTCATTGCGTATGGTCGGTAGCATCTCATCGTCGTCAATATCATCTTCCATCTCATTCAGGCTGATGTCTTGATAACGTTCCTGAAACTTTTGTTCGTCAAGCTAACGAAAATATGGAGAAAGACAAAATACGCATTATAAACAACAAGAACGCCTGCTAACAGTCCAGCATTCCGACAGCTAAATACCCTGTACCTAAACTAACATAATATATACATATATTACATTTCTAAGGCTTAACCGATTTGCTTAAAATAAAATAGAATTTTATGAAATAAATGAATAACATGCAAGTAGAGAGGAAAATGAAATAATGAAACTACGGGAGATCTAAAAAAATAAGCGAACGGACATGTCTAGATTTGCATTTTTTTCGCTGCTCAATTAATGATAGAACATTTTCGTAGCTGCTTTCTTCTGTCACATACACTTGCACAAAACTAATACACTCTGTTTATCCGTTTTGGTATAGGGTAGAAAAATGGCGATTCAGCTTAATGGTTTCTCATATTTCTTACATTATTCAATAGCTCCTGTTCTTTGGCCACAATCGGTGCGACATATTCCGTGCCAACTACTTCGCGTACGGGGAGCTTTGCGTCATAAGTCTCAGTGGCGAGTGCCTTTGGATTACCGCTTATAATGCCAGAAGGACGTACAGCGCGCTTAAAATCTTTCGAAAAGTCGAAAAAGTCCATCAATGGATCGTTGTCCATTTTAAAATAAATTCACTTTTAATCAGTCAACGAACAAAATTTGTATTCGGCACTACCGCTCTGCTCGAGAATATTTCAAAACACGGCGTTCCTCGAACTCACTTGACACAATGAGAACAAAAGATTTTTTTTGATCTGGCAGTAAACGATGTTTTAGTGTTGGAAAACAGTCTTACGAACGTACTCACCAGCTGGTAAAATGTGGTGGGATTCATAACTATCGGAAATCGTGAGACCACACCATCATACAAGTCGTTCGCTGTTTGGCATTTCAGCCAGTCTTTTAAATAATTCGTTGCGAGAACGTATTGGTGCGCGCGTATTTGTTATAACGAGCGACAGGTGTTTTTTATGACTTAGTTAAACAAATAAAACAAACGTTAACACTCGCAAGCGGCAATTACAAATAAAGGTGTCTACTTTTATTAAAATATCGCAACAAGCAAATAAAAGCGTTAAAGCCAAAAATATAAAACGAAAACACAAAACCATCGACACCTGTTTGCCTGCATTCCAGGGACTGCATGAGAGAGCGCATTGTGTGCATGTGTGCGTGTGCATTGCCTAAATAAGGGCATATCGTGTGTCAAGGAAGTGGGAAGTGCGAAGAGTGACCATTTTGTTTATGGGAAAATAATTGACAATATACAAACGTTGTTGTTCTACAATTGCAGCACATTTTGCAGCAAACCAACCAAAGCAAGAGTAAAAGAAGAAACAGCATAAATAAACATAACTCGAAAACCGGTTAAACGAATAACGCGCGCAAGCAAAAGGCAACAAAAAGAGCATTGGAGTGAGTAAAACAACAACAAAAATACTTGGCTTTTCAATTTGTTTGCGTTCAAGAGAGGCCTAAAAGAGAGGCCCAAGTGACAAAAACTAAACTAAAACGTAAAAAGTGTGTGTAAAAAATTGTAACAAAATACGAATATTAGGCGAATAATAAAGAATAATCCCTAAGTAAATGAAGGAGCGGCGTTACTTAAAAAGTGCATTTTCATAAAATATACAAAAATTTGCACTGCCCTAACCAACGGCAATAGGTAAGTTAAGGCTTTATAGTGTTAATAGACTCCGCTGCGATCATCGTTTATATTTAGAACGGGGGGCCTAGTTTTATGGCTCTCACGTGAAATCTTGAATTATAGACCAATAGAGGCCATAAAGTACGATTAGTCAAAAATAATAACTCTTAATCAGAGTTAAGCAAGTAATCAAACACCTGATCCAGGGCGGTGCGATAGCAACAATTGCTTTGTTGCCAACACGCAATTACAATTACCCATAACTATGACCTGCCTCACATGAATATACATATATGCATATGTATGCATATCCAGTTTATATGCCTTATATGATCTGATTATTCATGCCAGTTCATTGACACAACAAAGTCAATCAAATTTTAAAAAAGATTGAAAAAAAACTTTCACTGAATTGCGCGCCAAAATGCCACAATAGTTGTAAAATTGCCATATATATTATGGAATGTATGTATGTATGTATAAAGCAATGAAGTCAAGTAGAAAACAATTTTGTTGTAAGCGCCAAAAAATAGAAAAACAAAAATTGAACAATTGAAATGCAAGTCGCTCGAATTGAAAAATTATCCATTCATGTTCATTGTGTAACCCGTAGTTGATTTTTCAACTTGATTTGTCGAGCTTCATTAAAACCTGGTGAAATTTGTAAGGCGAACCACAACAGGCAACAAAGTCAAGATAATCGCCGCATTGCGGAACTTAATCATACACACATACATATGCATGCATGTATGTATGTATAGTAGGTACATATATACATATATATACTTGTTTATGAGCATAGCTACCTCTCCACTACCTATTTAATGCATGTTGAAAGCTAATGATGCTTTACAGTGATTACAAAACGCCTCTTGCCTTTTTTTTTTTAATACTATTAGTTCGCCCTTGTTTCATGCCGTTTTGGCAGTCGATGGTACGAGTAAGCGGTTTAATTATTGAGAGTAATTAGGATGTAATTTATTATCAGCAAGCAAGCTCGTTAAAAACTCACTTCATTGATCAGTGAGCGAACTCAACACTGATTAATACAAAAAATGATTATTTCACACAAATCTGTTAATTTATCTTTCCTTTCTTTTCATTATATTTTTGATGTAATCATCGTCCGTTATATTGATTACATTAGTATAATAATCGTTTATCTCAGAGGATTAGAGTTATCACTCATATTTTCTTCGATTTCAATTTTCATTAGTTTTATATAAACCATCAAGGGATTTAAGGAATTTCAGCAACAAATTCAGAACTCTTTCAAACAAAGACAAAGATCATTTAATAGTAGAACGATGGACATTTTCACTTCCTAAAACTATAGATTCGGAATCATCGCTTCCAATTCTAAAAGGTTTTTAGCTAACATGTATAAAAATCTCTTGATTTAGTTTTTTTTTTTTTTTGAATTTATTTAAAAAATTTAATTTTTGTTTTAGTTTTTGTTTAATTATTTTTTTTTTATATTTTTGTTTTTAATTAATTTTATTTAATTTTTTGTTTAATTTTTTATTATTAGTAAGTTTTTATGTTTTTATATCTCATAACTTTTCTGTGAATATTTCAAATAGATAATAAATAAAATAGTTCTTGATCTGTCAAACTGTTGATGGGGAATCCCCAAAAGCCAAATCCAACTAATTCCAAAATTTAATAATAATTGTGTTAACAACTTTTCATTTCTCTGCCACAGTTCATGTGGCAATGACTCACAGTCGCATTTATGAATATTGTAGACTGCACATAAAAGACAATACAATGCAATGCAATATAAAAAAAACCGTGTGCTCTTTTAGGACCGGCAACAACAACAACAGCAACAAAAATTCCAAACTTTAAAAACAAACCGTTGTTGGTCATGCAAAAGAAAAAATATACAAAAATCAGGCAACAGGTAACCACAACAAAAGCAACTGCCAAATAGTTTCGCACAACATTCCCACCAAAAAAAAAAAAAAAAAAACAACAAACAAAAAAATATGCAAACCGAACAACAACAAAGTAACAACTGGCCTGCCAACAACTTTATGGAAAATAAGCGCAACAAAAAAGCAAAACTATGCACATAAAAAGTTATATAAAAACACGTTCAAAACACAGCCACAGTCAGCTAAAGCCGCAGTCCATCTTAAGCCAACTGCTGCTCCCTCCACACCCTTCCACATCCCTGACTAGCCAGCCCGCCCTCGTTGGCTCGTCAAGTTGCGCGCTTTTCGAGCCACGCTTCAATTGCTAAAAGCATTGACGCAGATATGCGGCTACTAGTTCGAGCTTCTTGTTGTTGTAGTTGTTGTTGTGAATTCTACAGGTTTCGTATGTGTGTGTGTGTGTGTGTGTGTGTGTGTGTAACAGTTGCCTTAAACCAACCATGCTCTGCAATTTTACGCCAAAGCTGGAAAAGGCGAACGCAACTCACTCCGGTCCGGTACGGCCGATCGATTCAATATGCGCCGCTCTATATAACTTTTAGCCGCCCCAAACCGGCCGCTGACTGCCACCACCGCCCCACAGCCATAAACATTGGCATGCCACAAAGATTGCTGTTTTTGTTGCTGTTGTGATTGTTATTGTATCTGCGCAACAAATCGAGCTGCAAGCGTTGGTCGCCGCCGCAGCCACTACTTGGCGTTCATTTCAATTCGTTGCGCGTTGTTGGCTCAATGACGCGCTAGTTGCTCGCAGCAACAGCAACAACAACAACAACTACACAAGCACCACATAGCAGCAACAACCACTCACCCAGCCTTAGCTCAGCTCACCTCAACGCAACGCGACCGCACCACACCACTCCGCGTCTTGTTTGGTTTGTTTGTACTGCGTCGTAATTGTTTCATAAAACGCAAAGCAGTCAGTCAGCCAACACACATACACACACACTCACACCTAGAAAACTTACCTGTCCATCGCATTCACAATCGATGGTAACAGGTGCGCGAATTTCGCGTATTCCGACTGCGCATGCGCATCGATTCTCGCTTCATTTTGATATTTTCAACTCAAAATATCTCCCCTCCCAATCGATTTTAATTACAGTTTATGTCCCGCAGCAGACATTTTTGGTATTCGGCGCATAAATGTCAAAAACTTACAAGGTTACATATTCTTTCAGTAAATCTGATTGACAGAGTTGCCGGAACAGCAGTTATATAAAGAAGCTAAAGACAGTAATTTGTTCAAAAGCAACTTTTAAAAACTGTTGAAGAAAAACTCAAAAATTGAATGCTTTAATTAACTAAAATTTATTGAAAAATGAAAAATATAATTAAATTTTGGAATTGTGCAGCTCAAGAGTTTTCAAAATTAAATGCATTGATTTTTGATTATACTATAAAGAAAAGAATTAATATTCGGAAAGATATGCAATAAGATAGGCAAACCTGTAGCTGACTCTATCCAACGAACTTTACATAACTACGTCTGGGAATAACTTTTCGAAACACCATCCTAGAATATTTACAATTTATGACCAACACCTGTACCATTTAAACGCGTTAACTCAGCGCTGAGTCACGACCTCATCAACTGGCTGAGATATCAAGACATAATACTCTTAATTTATAATACCGCACTGAGATACTCAGTTGCTGAGACAACGAGCCATCAACTTTATTAAATATTTGCCAGATACAAGCGCTCGACAGACACAGCCACAAACCCAAACCCAACGCTGACTCAAAACAAATAAAACATCCACCAAAAGCGCCGTAGACCAGAAATATAGAAACATAGCCAGACTTACATGGGAATGAAAAGCAAACCACTAAGCAAGGCAATAAGATAATATCTTGAATTACGCGTAGCCCTGCTTTTTCGCTTGTCACAGCTGATTGCGATTTGTTGTCCACAAACAACAACAGCAGCAAGTGTTATGATTTACATACAACAGAAACTGTTAAATACAAGTAAATGCAACAACGTACGAAACAGGCACAGCGACTGCGCACCGCTCTTGTCTGTTTAATTTGTATTTTAACTGTAACTGCGCTACTTACTTACCTGCCTGAGCTGGCGGCGTATCTATCAGACACAGATACAGACACATACGTGCAACGCAGCGAGGCGTGCATGCCACGCACGCACCGCACCGATTTCAGAGTAATATGCGACCTACGTGTGGTTGTAGAATGCTTTTTTAGTGTTAATAGAACAACTTTGAAGAGGGAGCCTTTCTGTTGTCAGTTCTTAAACACAATGAGAATATAAGAACATCAATAATTTTTTAATCAAAATTATTTATTTGTTTGAAAATATTTAGTTTGTGAAATACAGGGTTTTCAATTTCTTTCATGGATTTTAAAAAGTATACTTCTGGATGGGTACTCGTTGTATTTTGTTGAGCCTTGTTTATATTTTGGGAAAGTATTCTTTTATTTTAAGTGTCTCATTGAGTTTGCCTCACGTTCTAATTGTTGTAGAATAAGTAATACAAAATCCTACCATACTTCTATATTTGAACACCCCATTTTTAATGAACCTTTCGAGCTACCCTCGTATGTAAATCCATTCATGCGTCTACGACTTAAATTGAAACTTATTGTTTTTTTTATGGCTTGTATTTTGTTTTTTTCCTGCTGCTGCCTTATAAATATTAATCGAATTTGTTATTTAACTTGTTGCTTCGATTTCTGTGCAATCTTTTATTTGTCAGTTGTTTTTTTTTTCTGCGAATCAACTTAAAATACAAATTCAAAGGCAATTTTGCATAATTTGGCGCGAAACCAGGAGAAAATAAAGAGGAAAAAAAGTCCAAAGAAAAAAAGCTTAATGCGTTTTTTGTTTATATTGATTTTCTTCCCCGCTCCCTCCTCCTTTTACGTTGCTGGGCCCTTTGTTGTTTGTGTTAAAAAAAAAACATATATTTTTTGGCAAGCCGCTTTATTACACGCATTGTTGTTCTTTTTGTTGTCGTGGCTGTCGATGTTTATTGAAAAGTATTTTACTCGATTACTTATTTTATATTTGCATTTCAAGGCGTTCTTTAATTGCTGATTTGACCTTATTTTTAT